GCCTTCACCGACCTCGCCTCGAAAGCTCCTCCAAGTACCCTGCCCCCCATGGCTCCCCTCGGTGGCGTCCTCCGCGCGAACAGCACCATTCTCCCGATGGTAAATTCCGCGGTCGTCAACGTATCCGCCCTCACACCCGACATGATCGCCTACATCCCCAAGCCGGGTGACAATGACCAGTACATGATGGGCAAAGCCGGCGGCGGCGCAATCACCAACTGGAACTTCGGGACCAACATCAGCGACGCGGCTGTGGAACATCTGCAGCTCATTCAGTTCCTCGACAACATCCTTCTCAAAGTGCTATTCGAAGGATACGAGAGTCTGCAGGCGGGTGGTAAGTGGGCCAACGTATACCCCGAAACCATCGTCGAGACTATCGGGACAATGGCGGCGCAGGCGTGGGTGCATCGCGGCACGGCGACGGACTCTCTGCAGCACTTTTCCAAGACCGTGTTGAAGGAGTGCGCATACGCCATTCCCGCCCTTGACATTGATGCGTTTCTGAGCACGGCGCTTACGGTATTGTTGTTGGAGATTGGACTCATCATCGACGCGACGGCGCTGCTGGCGCCGTCAGACCCGTGGCTCGTCCCGGCTCTCGCAACGTCGCTGGGTGCCAAATCGCGCATGACTGCCGTTATCAATATGATGCAGAACCATATGGCAGCGGCTGCGCCCCGCGAGGTTTCTATCCCCGCAGAGTTGGTATACTCGTATGCCATGCACCACTACGTGTCGTCGTGCCCGGACAAGTTGGCCTGGGACAAGCCAGTTGCGAAGTTGGATATCAAGGGTCAGGGGTTGGACCAGGCCCAGAGGTTAATGGGAGTTGACGTCCAGTGGGAGGGCAAGCATGATGGGGACTTGTTCCTTGCCTGGCTTGGTGCGTGGGGAGAGGTCAAGTTTTCGTCCATTGCTGATGGCAAGTCGTCCGTGCCTGATGGTTTGTACGGTCATGTTTGGGCTATTGTCACCTCGAAGAAGGATGTCAAGGCCTCGGAGATTGCGGGGGCAGCGATAGCTGGGCCTGAGATGATCTGGGTCACACAGCCTTAAGCAAGGTTGTTCTGGCGTGGTTTGACATAGCATTGGAGTATATACAGAAAGAAGAGAAGCCATCGAGCAACGCGACACAATTGGGGGGAGATGATCATTGGTAGAAGAGATCAGATGCCATGCATATACACTATCATTACGTATTTCACATTACTCCTCCCCAAAGGCGTTGCATGCGTGCCTAACTAAGCGATACTTCAAGCAGCAGCTGTTGCGTTTCCGGCCGCCTGGTACTTGACGATGAAAGGCACCGTCGTAAACACATCCCAGTCTTCCTTCCTCTCGCGGTCTCCGTAGATCCTAAGTGCGCTGACCTGCATCTTGTACACGCCAGGCTCGAGAACAGTGCCGTCGGCAAGCAGACCATTGAAGTACGCCCGTTGATCAACGCGGGTGACATACGGAAGAGGCCAGCCGGCCAAGCTTCCGAGGTTCTCCTCCTTTCCGTTGACAAATGAGAGAACGTCCACCGCGAGTGAGGCGGTCCCCACGGTAGGTTGGATGTAGACGTTGGGAGTGGCAGACTGGTCGCCGCGGTCGGAACGGGGAGGATTGGCAGGGTCGGGGCGGGCGATGGTGTAGGTGCGGTTGGCGGGGACGACGCCGTTGTACTCGGCAAGGTACGCTTGCGAGGCGGTCAGAACTGGGGTGTTGTACATGCTGCCGACGACGCCGAGGTATGGCACGTTGAGGGAGGGGGCGTCGGTGGTGCTCGTGAGGATGATGTATCCGCTGTACACTGGGAGGAGGGTCGCGTTGAGGTTGGAAGGGGGCGTACAGGTGATGGTCAAGTCAACCGAGCCACCAGCGGGAACAGTCAGCTTTCTATAGAAGGCGTTAGTCAAGGTGGAACAGAAGTGGTGAGGTCAGCAACATGACTTACTCAGAGCTGAACTGGAGTTCCGCCCACTCTTCGACGATGGGGTTGGGGAAGGCGGCCGCTCTCAGGCGATCGAGGCTGGAAATGAAGGTGTACATGGTGACGGCCTTGCGGTGGCTGACGTCGAAGACAAGGTCTGCAGATCCGGTGTTCTTGATGCTGACAGTGGCGTTGCCGACGAAGTTGTCTGTGTCGTTGAAGGAGATGGAATTCACGCTGAGCTCGGCGGTGGAGCGGGCAGCATCAAATGCCTGGACAATACCAGCGCCCTGTTGCGGGACGGGGGCAACGATGTCAGAGTGCGCAGTGGTACCATCAAACCAGTCGAGCTGCCTCGCGGTAGATGAGAGGAACGAGGCGAGGCGCTTGGGGTCCTTGGTACCATGAGCCTCGGCAAGAAGGGCGTAAATGGCAGCGGTCATTGGACACGACATGCTCGTTCCCGTCATGACTCTGTAAGAGCCTAAGGCGACAGGGTAAGTAGACAGGATGTTGGCGCCAGGAGCAGCGAACTGAGGACTTGCGTGCAGTTCCCAGGTCGGTCCCCAGCTGGAGAAAGTGCCCATGTAGCTGCCGCTGCTGTTGTTCTCGAGGTTCTCAAGGCGAGTCTTGGTGTTGTTGGCATTCGGGATGGAGACAGTGACAGCCCGGCCTTGGTCGAGGAGAGACAGCCACTGCGTAGACTGATAAGGTGGAACAGACGCGACACCAAGAATGCCATCGGAATAGACATACTGCTCATCCCGCATGGTTCTAATACATACGTTAGTTGGTTAATCATGGCCATCACAGGTGCTGACAACTCACGTGTTATCATTGGTGTAGTAGAGGATGTAATGTCCACCCTTCGCGGCAACATTGTTGCCTTGGTCGTTAGGGTAGCAGCCGGTCGCTCGAGAGTCGGGGAACTGCAGCAGGGCGATCTTATTGCTAAGATCTGGCGTATCTTCCGGCAAAGCACTGCAGGCGTCGCCAGTCCAAAGCTGAAGGGACAGATCACCAGTCAACTCGGGAACACCAGGCAGGTAGCCAAACTCGGTCTTGCTGCTTTCAGTGGAGTTCGAGTCAACACTGAAAGTGCCGGCGTTGAGAAGAGTGGGAAACAGTGCGTTCGTAACGGCACCGATGCCGGCAACGCCCCGCCCTGTTGCCGGGGTAGAGGCGTAGAACATGCCGGTGCCGCCGTCGTTACCCTCGGAAATGACAACGGGGACGCCGGCATCAACAATGCGGGAAGCAACAAGGCCCCAAGCATCCTCAGCCCAACCGGAAGCACTATTAAACTCGTCAACACAGCGTCTTTTATGAGCAATCACAGGGTATTACTTACTCTCCATCGGAGCAGGAAATAATATCAGCTCCCTCCTCGAAAGCCCGGCTGAACGCAGCAATCAAGATCTCGTTGGTGCCCGAAGCAGCGCATCCCCATGCACGGTAAGCAGCCAGCTTCACTCCGGGAGCGGCACCAGTGAAGCCGTACTCATTGCCTTCGAGCTGAGCGGCAATGATTCCAGCAACGTGGGTTCCGTGGCCCACGCAGTCATCCATGGGGTCGGCATCGGGCTGCGCAGGTCGAACGCCAGGAAGAAAATCGTCGCCGGTAAAGTCCCATCCGGCTTCGACGAGGCAGCCGGGGCCGAAACAGCCTCCAAGGGCAGGGTGCGTCCAGTCGACACCGCTATCGATGATTCCCACACGAATGCCCTTACCGGTGATACCCTGTTCGCGCAGCTTGTCGACCTGGGTCATGATGTGAGGGGAGAAAGTGTCCTTGGTAGAGTTGCCAGGAGCACCGCCTTGGCGCTTGACGCGGGCGTTCGCAGGTGCGGAGCCTTGGCTCGGGGCACCATTATCCTCGGGCAAGTCGAGCTTGATGGTCTTCACAGGCCAAACGTTCTTGATGCGAGAAGAGCCAGCCATTTGGCGCCGGAAAAGGGCGCTATCATGGTGCGCTGCATTTGACTCCTTGACTTGAAAAGACACACCCTTGAAGAAGCGGTAGCTCATCTCCATACGCGTGTCGGCATCGATGCCATCGGCCTTTAGCGACTCAAGAAAGCTGGAAGGAGTGTCGTTGTCGTCGGCGAACTCGACAATGTACGCGCCCTGAAGCAGCTCGCTGCGGCTCTTCGTCGTCTGGGTGTCGTCGGTTTCCGCTCTCGGGAGGTGAGCCGGCGCCGGGGCATCCGCGTAGATGCGCGGGTGGAGCGGCTTGGCCGTCGCGGCGTTGGCGCCCAGGAGGGTCGAGATGATCGCGTGCGAGACCCTCATCTTGACTTGATCACTCGCTCACAGGATGTATCCGTAGGCTAGCGGGTGAGGAGACGAGAAAAGGTAGATCGGGCGCCATCGCGGGTGCAGCCGTTGATATACACGGGTAGCCCGCACCTCGTCATGGGGGTTGTTTATCGGTTGATGGAGCAGATGACACGAGTTGGAGATGAAGAACGGCAAATACGAGCTTCGTTCGTGATCTAGCGCGCAGATCCCCGGCTTTACAAGGGGCGGCCCCACTGTCGAAGGTGTGCCCCTCGCGTGAACCGAGATCCCCGACCTGGGCTGATGGGGAATGATTCCACGAAGGCGTAGTGTAGAACATTGTGAAATCACCTAGAAGAAAGATCCAACTTGCCTCGAATCATCTCATGGCTCAATTATCAAGTACACAGTGTTCGAGGTTTTCAGAGTACATTGCTATTCATCTTTTTTGCTCGTCAACAAAGATTCAATCCAATGTTATTGTGTGGGTCCTCTCAGCAAGTTTACAATGCGCAACTCTCTTGGCACTCCTCCGTATTCCGAGGGTATCCATTGAAACAGAGCAAGGTAGTATTCGCCAAAGTTGCCGAGCCGTCACCTTACTTGCTTGGGCAGGAGCTGCATCTCCCCACGAAGCAGATGTCATGAAGCGCCTTCGAAAATGAAGACTCGAGGTCTTCGATTACATTGGAAAAAACGATTAAGGCCTGTCTATGACACGAGTGACAACTATCAGAACTCTAAACACACCTTAACTTCACTTCCGCCTGCGAAGTTGGATCTACTATGAACGAAAGCCACCTCAGCCCCTCCAATCTCTCGCATCATTCAACAGGGCTCCGACCTCATGAGTCCGGTCATTCGCGCGCTCAATCACATCGTACTCATACATAGCTTTCCTCCAGTCTTGGATCTCGTCCACGAGACGGTCAGGATTTTCTTTCGCTGATATGGTGATGTCGTCGAAGAATTCCTCCAACCTCTTCCGTCTCTGCCTCTGCGCCTGCACTGCTAGTTCACGCTCTGTGTACTGACTCCCAAGCTCAGACCTGAGCCTCAGGATCAAGTTATCGGCTCGTTGCAACCCCGCATTCTGATGTGCAAGACAGGTCCGAAAGGCCTCTCCTGCAGACATTTTCTGGCCCTCAAAGTTAGCATCCGCAAAGCACTTATCCATCTGCCTAGTCTGGAGCACTTCGCTTGAAGTCTCAAATTGAGAAAAGTTGTAACTCGATGAGCTGTGCGATGATTCTGTAGACTCGCCCGAGGAGCTTGATGTCAGATTCGAGAGTAGTCCGTTGGGTGGCGGGCAAAGTGGTGAGCGCATGTCTCGAACTACCTCCTGCATCAAGGAAGATGGACCGTGTACCTTTTTTGGCACAGGGCATTGCTCAATCTTTTGGGATCTGTCAGTGACATCTGCACTCCAGGTATCGACATCACGGCGCAAACGCTCTTTGGCCCTCGCAGAAATAGGCTCTCGGGGAATCGGGCTGGGATCGTATACGGTTGGGGTTGTGTTTGTATCCGCCTCGGGAAAGGCTGCCTTGGCCTTTTTGGTAGCTGTGAGCCAGGCCTCAGCACTTTCGTTTGTACTCATTGTATATGAATTGCGAAAATTGTGTGTAGCGTAAGAGTCCGTCATAATATTCCCTCGACACCTGCCGCGCTACTCTCACACTTATGTATCAAATCTGCAAAGGCAGCGTGGGTACACAGTACTGAGAACAAAGTCGTTTGAAAATCAACCACGCAAACAAGCAATCGCTGTTTCTTCAACGGGAATTGTGTCATCCTCAAAACCATTGTTTTCATTGTTCCCGCTTAACTTGTGCGGCCAAGGGGCTTAACCTGGCCTTGTGGTTTGAAAAGGAGAAGCCGAATCCGCTTTCATGCTTTATCCTTCAGTATATGTTCCACACGGCCTTGGGGGTGATTCGATATTTCGTGCCAGAACAGATAAGGTATATAAGATCGAGAGTGTGTACACAGCAGCCTCACAAGCCTTTCACGACGTCGCCGCTCAGAGACCCTGTTATCCTGTCTCGTTTGGCACATGCTTATTACTTCCACGCGATAGTCGCTCCCGTGTTGTGCGACTCTCTCGCAAGCTCGATGATCCTGATCGCGTCTCGCGATTGAGTGGCCTTCACCTCTAGCTCAGCTTTGCCATTGATCGCGTCGGCCAGATTCTCATAGATACCCAGCCAGCGCCCGGTGATGCTGGGATATTTGCCAGTGTACTTCTTCGTCGCTTCATCGTACTTCTGAACCGTTCCGTCAAACTCTTTATACGTCGTAAGAATACCACGCAGCTCAGTCGGCTCCTCGCCGAAACCAGGCTCGAGCGGCTTACGGCCTTCGGCAATTTGCTCCTCTTGAGGGCAGGTGCTTCTTTGTTGGAACTATGACGTGTCAGCGGACAACAGTTCGTATGAATGGTGGGCTACCAACCTTGAGCCATGATCCCTTTGTTCCTCTCACGAGATGTTTGAGTTGCTGGGCCATGGGCGTGGTGACCGAGGTCTTGACGGTCACCAGGAGGTCCTTCTGCGCTCCTTCGTACTGCAAAACGATTGTGAACGAGTCTTCAACCTCGCTTTCGATACCGCGCTGGGCGCGGAAGAAGCCAGTGACGGACTTTGGACGGCCGAAAAGAGTCACTGCCTGGTCGATGCTGTGTGTCCCTGTGTTTCGCCATGATTAGAATAGTGTTCTTAGGCTCTAAACTCAATGCTCAACTCACCTAGACCGAACGCCATGCCATCGCCCGGAGTGTACTCCTTCTTATTCATTGAGCTCAACCAGGGAGGCGACTCAAAGTCGTAGTGGATCTCGGCTTCCTTGATCTCTCCGAGTGCATCCTGTTTGATGAGCTTGCGCAAAGTTTGGAAGTCTCCATCCTGCAGTTTCAATGAGTCAAATACTTTCCATAGAAAGACCTCGCAGCACTCACCCATCTGCGGTTCTGAAAGCACGTCAAAATGAGACCCTTGTCCTTGGCGATCTGAATAACACGGTCTGCTTCTTCAGACGACCTTGCGAATGGCTTGTCGGCGATGGCTTCAAAAATGTCAATCTCTGATCACATCATCAGCTGCATTGGATGATGACTTACCATGTTTTCCCGCCAACAGCGCCTTCTCTGCGAACGATGCATGTGTATCAGTGTGAGTGGCAACCACAACGAGTTGAATGTCCGAGTCGGCGAAGAACTCTTCCGCAGTACGGTAGTGTCTGATGTTGGGAAAGTCAACCTTGCAGTGAGAGCCGGCAGGCGCGGATGACAAATCGCTCGGAGCTTCCGCTCTCTGCAAGATTGCTATCACCTCGTAATCCTTGTTGGTAGTGATGAATGGCAGGTGGAAGCTCTTGGCGGCGAAGCCATAGCCGACAACACCGACTTTGATGGTGGACATAGTGTTATTGTGTCGATTTTCTGTGGTGACTTTTGGGTGACTGGATGAATATATGAGAAGTTCGAAACATCTATCTGCAATCAAAAAGCCGGCCAGCTTCCTTTATATCCCATCTTCTAAGATGCGGGGTGTAGGTACAGCGGCGGCTTGACGGTGCGGGATGACGGGGTGCAGGGGCGGAGAGGACCCACCCAAAGCCGACACTCCGCGGAGCACTAGAACTTCGTTTTCGGGTAGGTTGCAATACCGACTTCAACGATTATACTTTGGTTCAACATCTAGAAGCCTGTCGACTAGAATATTGATCATATCAAACACTTTCCAAACAGTCAGTGCTCTCCTATTGATTTTACAGAATTTTTAAGTTCAATTTCTCTGCTCTTCTAGTCTGAGATACATCGTCAAATCTCCTCGATTCGCATAGTACTCAAATCTGGACAGACAAACCTCCGCTTCACGCGACCAATCATGCATGGCATGGTTTTAGCCGCACCGCATCAAGCCCCGCTAATTCCCCAACTGCTAGACTTTCCCGATCGAGACATGACTAACGACGAATGACGTTATTGAAGCTATCCCAGACATGTTACTGCAGATATTTACCGAAGACCGATGCAAGTTGTAGAGGTTCCACTGTCGACCCCGGGTGGCATTGTCCTGCCAGTCTGAACCGTGGAACTCACTCTAGTGAACATAACCCGGCTTTTGACCGTATACGACAAACCTAGACACAAATAATCAGCAAAAAGCCCGATTTTCACGGAGCGGTACAAGAGGGGTAGCACTTACATGTCGAACAACAAATGTATACCCCCCTGTTTCAGCTCTTTCCTCACAGCCGCTAACTCAACCTCGACCTCAACCCGCGATCTTCCCAAGACATCGCAAAACAGTTTGAGAGTGAACGCTTCCAGTCCCTCCAACGTGATCGCCAGATTCATCATCCCCAGATCTTTGTAGTACGGGTCCCTCGGCCAGGGGCCTATAGGACACTTGAACTGCCGGGCGTAGACACCATTGAAACCTACCTCCTTCACCATGCCTTCAATCTTGGCCGCCGGAGAGGGATCGCGGCCCATGCTTCTGCAGGCGTTGGCGAATGCCTGATTCCAGGCCCACGTAGCATGTGCGGTAGTGTATGTGCTGTCATCTGAGTAGAACTCGGTGTCCATCTCTTGGAATTCGGCGAAGCCTCCGGGATTTAAGTGGCTGGTTCATACTCAGTCAGCATTCTAAGCTTTTGGGGCGTGATGAATTAGAACTGACGTACTCGTAGATATTCTTTACTAACTTGGGCCAATCGGCAATGGAAGCAGCCATATACCGACACATAATAAAGTCGTACTTTCTGCTTGCAACCCAGTCACTTTCCACGTCGTCTACCTCAAACTTCACGTTCGGGGGAACCCTGTACTCCTGCATGTCAGTCTTCGAACAGCCTTTCTAACGTGAGTTGACTTACCATTCAGGCTGAATCGGACTCAGGTCATTTCCAGTGACCTGCTCTGCTTGTCAGACTCTCCATCTGCAACGCACATAAGACTGAAAACCTCTGCGTTCTGGAAAATATCACCCATCTCCACCGCCCCTGGGGATGATCAGCCTTCGCTCACTTGTCGCAATAAGAATACTCAGCTGCGTACAAATCCCCGTGCCTGTGCCGATGTCGAGCATCTTGTGAATCCTCTCCTTTTGCAGCGGCGCAAGATAAAGTCTATTGCCAATAGTTTTAACAATCATGGCATGAGCTAGATCAAGTCGATCCATTTCATACTACATTGGTCTTGTCAATGCACTGGACTTGCATGTTAAACAATGAAAATCGTACATCATCATTGGGGAATGCATATGCTGCGCGTTGTCAGCGTTGAGAGGTCTGTTACGCCTGGTATCGGCGGGACCCGCATAGCCAACTTACTCCCTGGGCGAAACGCATGATACCGACGGCCATATTCAACAGGATAGTCGACGACACTTGAAGTCAGCGACGCGCTGTAATTTGACCTGGTCTTGAGTAAGCACCTAATTCATGGGTCGTTGGACGCTGATGGGCTTACAGTCTCTCATCAATTGATGCTGTGTCATCCTCTCCCTGATACAACATCAGTACGGGACCTGAGTCGAAACTTCAGTGACAGGGGAAAGTACATAAGGCTGAGCCTCCGCCTCAAGTTGATCCATCTCGCCAGTTGATGCAGTCTCGGGCTGCAACCTGCCAAGTTGGACGGTAGAAAGAAGGACTTGCGCATCGGTGATAAGAGGTAGGAGAAATGGTGTTTCGCTCTTTGCGGGGTCGCAGAAGATACGCGGCCTCCGTGCAGAGTTCACGAGTTGAGTTCGTCTGGTGTTTCCGACCGCCCGTTCCTTCATAGAAACATATTTCCCATGTTGTTTAGCCAAAGGTATGAAGAATTCTAAAGCAGCTTTCTAACGCCATAGCAACAATTGACTGACTCGGGTCTCACGCATTTATCGAGTGAGAGACATTGGACTGTCGCACAGCTGGTACAAGAACCTGCCTTTTCTTTATTACTGGTTCGCATCAATGAGGATTGGGAGCGTAAACCAAAGCCCATTCAAGGCAGTTTGTGGTAGAACAAAGCACACCGAATTTTCTGCGTGGCACCCCGGCAATTTTGTAGGCTTCTAGGGAACAACTGGTTCTACAGTCTTGTTCACTTTCATTCGGACAAATCAACTGGATTATGTTGAGCAAGGCCTTTGAGCGATAACCTCAGGCATTGGGGCTGAATTTTATTAGTAGAAGCTCTTTCCCGCTAGGAAACCTTTCTGATTATCAACAGAATCAATTTCCACCAACTCCCGTCAGAAAACAGCAAACATTTTCAACCACGCCAACCATCTATCCCACCGAAGAACAACTCATAATAGGTATTCAAACACTACCCCAAAAACGGAAAGAATGGCCTCCCACAAGCCAACTTACGCCCAGGCCCTCGCCCACGCAAAGGTCCTCCACGACGATTTCCAAACCGAACTCGCCGCCTTCCGCCAGAACCTCAGCTCGCACTGGGACAGCTGTAAGGACATCCTCGAAACCTTTGAAGAAGGTGCGCTAACACGCGAAAATCTTGCTTCTCACGTACATGCCATCGATGCGCTGCACATCCGTCTCTTTAATCGGTATTTGGCACTGCGGGAGGGTCTGCACGACCTCATAGGCCCCCTCTATGTGGGTGCAGTGTATCCAAAGAAGGGCGAGAAAGACATGTTGTTGGGGATGTACTGGGCTTTTGAGAAAGTCCCCTTCTTTGACGCAGAAGATGGGGATCCAATGGGTGGTAGACAGGGCAATGATCGGGAGGAGGTGAAGACTGGGCGGTACACAGATGAGTCTGGGGGAGGTGAGGGTAACGATGAACAGCCTTGGGTCTTCCAAGAGTATGATCCCGGAGCTGATGGTAAGACTGGCCCCGAGGAATGGTGGGAGGTCCCCGAGAAGAAAGAGGCGGATCTGATCGATCTGAGCTAGAACAATCGTGTCTTTCAACTAAATACTTGAATAGCTTTGCAGCAGTCAGCTGGCCACACCCTCTCGACCTCAAATAGACTACCCTCTATAAATTCCCCTTCAAATCCCTGTACTTATTCTCCGGGTCTGCCATCTCCTCCTCCACCGTCTGCAACTTCTTAATCACCCGCGCCGGGCTCCCCACCGCCACACTATACGCAGGCAAGCTCTTCGTGACCACAGCCCCGCTTCCCACCGTCGTGCCGCGCCCGATCTTGACGCCTGGCATGATGGTCACACCTCCGCCGATCCAGCAGTCGTCCTCGATGGTGACGGGCAGTCCGTACTCGACGAACTTGATGCGCGAGAGCACCGAGGTGTCGTGGCCGGCGGTGTAGATGCTCACGTTGGGGCCGAACTGCACGCGGTCGCCGATTGTGACGAGGGAGACGTCGAGGATGGTCATGCTGTGGTGTGTCAGGTTTTGCCCCGCATCATCATGAGAAGGCCACGTACTTGAAGTTGGCGAAGCAGTTCTTGCCAAAAATGACATTACACCCGTAGTCCACGATGAACGGCGCCTCGACAAAGGTGCCCGCGCCCAGCTTGCCGACCATCTTGGCTAACGTCTCCGTCTTGAGCTGAGCTACCTCGTCGGCGGTGTGCTTGCGGTGGTCGATCTCGTTGAAGTCACGCGCGAGGCAGCGGCCTTGGTGGCGACCGTCGACTAGGATTGGGTCGACGGGGTTGTACCTTTTATCGCGGTCAGGAATGGGAAAGGAGGTGTCTAGGGATTCAGAAAGAGCGCTTACATCATACCAGAAACCATCTTCTCGTACTCCTCGCACCACGGTGTGTTCTGGAGGGTGCGAGCTACTGCGATGATTTCGGGGTCTTTTTGAGACTTGGCCATCTCTGTAAGTTGAAGGGTTGTTGTTTTTGATTGCCGGACGGGAAGGTGAGTTGGGGAAAAGAAGTGACGACGGTCAAATGAGAAGCTGCAGAAGAGAAACAAATGAGAGTCCAGTTATGGACGGTTTTAAGAAAGACAACGATGAAGTATGTCGTGTCCTGAAGTCAAACAATCGTTGGTGTTGTGTGTAAGTGGCGGTCGATGCGGAGACTCCGCCGGCTGGCTGCACCACAGTTCTGCGTGGAAGACAGGAGCAGCCTGGTGTGGGGTCCTGCCATTTGTCGCGATAATTTTCACGACGGCTTCTAAGTGGCTGGCATGGGTGAATATCGGGCTACACAGCTTGGTTTGCGGAGTAGACTGTCCATGTGGTGGAGGCTGAGACCGTGGTCCCGGGACGGCGAAGCGGCCCGAGAAACACTAGATCCAGTCTTCCTGGCCCCGTTCCGGAATATATATCCCGCCTAAGTCCATCTGCCGGTAACCGGGTCACGGGTGAAACGACGGCTGTCCGTGGATTCTAGCCCTATTCAAATCCAATTGGAAAAGTCTGTCATGTCTACTGACCAATGAGGTCGTAACTCGTATGCTCATATCCATCTAAGAGACGTATGTATGGAATCCGTGTACCTAGCGCCTCGCATAGCCCCAAATGCCAGTTCGTGTCTTGCAAATACACCCCAGCGCCTCATCCGCTGACCGCATTCTTCCTGCGACTTGCCAGCCGCTGTCTGGAAGCTTGCAGCCTCTCCTCGTCCATGGTCGACCTCCACGTGCAGTCATCCGCAAACTCGCACATGCGGCACTTGTAAGCCTCCTCAATCTGCACGCCCCGCGGCTCTCGGTCTGCGCGCCACCACTCCAGCGTACTGCCCAGGTAGAGATTCAGCGCGCGGTCGTCCATCGGAAACACCTGGCTGTCGATGAGGGAGCCGTCGCCGCGGTATCTGTACTCTACGGCGAGAAGTCGGCCAACGGAGTCTGCACCGTGGGCGAAAGTCTCCTTCAACTCGGACCTGAGAAGAGGAAGTAGTTCGCGGAGGGTTCTGTACTTGATGAAATCTGGTGTCTGACTTGTAGCTCCGTCCGCGTCAGTACCGCCATTCGCCGCACCAGATGCTGACGGAACGTAGTCGCCATCTGGTGATGAGTTGACGTCGAAGAACAGCTCGTCGTGCAAGCTGCCAATCTGCGCAATAAACGAATCCGAAAACGGCACATCAGGGTCTAGATTATACCGCCTGAAGATTCTCAGGTAATCCAACTTGTCCGCCGCCATCTCTGATAGGAACCGCTGGTAGAGAAAGAGCTGCACCTTTGCGGGGCGCAGAAGCGCAGGGCTGTTGGGCGCCTTCATGGACCCCCGCGTCTTCACGTCCGTCAAGTAAATCTGCGGAATCTTCTCCTTCCCCGCATTCTTCGACGGGAAGTAGTCTGTGATGCTCGCCTGGCTCTGGCCCTCCGACTCCTGGCTCAGCTGCTCCTCAAACTCCGGGTCCGGGTTCTCGAAGCTCAGGCCGTCAATGACGCCGTTGACGAGATTGCCGTCCGCGAAGCCCCATACCTCGAGCTCGCGGGTCATGCCCGTTTCACGGAGCGTTCGCAGACCCTGGATGAGGTTCCACATGCGCAGCCCGAAGCCGTCCTCCTTGCTCGCGATCTCGACGCGGACGGTGGTGTGGACTTCGTCCTCGAGGTCCTGGTGCACCTTGGTCCCCTGCTTCATTGCCGCCGTGCGAGTCTTCCGGCCGAAGGGCAGGCGGGTGAGGGTGTAGAAGTATTGCAGCTCGCACCATGCGCCAGCCGTCAGGTCGGTGACGGTGAATGGCTTTCGCGGGTAGGATCGGAATCGTACGAGGGGCGATCGGGTGTCATCGTCAGGTTCTGGTGGGGGGGTGGTCTTCGGTTTGGAGGGCGAGCGCGAGGATTCGCTTTTGGGTAGAGCTTTGCTCACTAGACGCTTTCCAGTCAGTCAGTTTCTAAACAATGGTCCTTTCCATGTGGCGAACTCACGATCCGGGTAGTTGACGACGCCGTTGCCATTCGACGGCGGGGTGCCAGCCCTGTGCTTCCTGCTGTCGGTGCCAAACGCAGCTCTGCGACGACTGCGAGGAGACCGTAGTGGCGCCTTGGCCGTAGCAGACGGCTCGTAAGAGAGGGCATTGGAGGGAGCATCGTTCAGACGGAACTCCTCCTCGGCGACGGTGTCGATGCCCAAGTCCTCTGCGAGCGAATCAGGTTGTGGTGGTGCTGAGGCGGGGTTGGGAGCTTCGGTGATGAGCAGGCTTAGCAGAGATTCGTCTTCCAGCGTGAGATCGTAGCCATATTCGTCGTCAGAGTCGAGCGAGAGCGATGCTGCCATTGTTGTGCGACTTGGGAGTCATGTCGGTGCGTGGTGGGGTGATGTGAGGTCCTTCCGGTGAAGGCGTCACGACTCAGCGGGGAGATCGCCGCTAAAAACACGAGAAACGCGTTGGATGAAGTGCCCAGGTGGCGATGGGAGGTGACGGCGTGGATACGCTTTAGTGCTTGCAGATGCTGTAAGCGGAACTTCGCCGCCTGTGATTGGGCGCTGGGGCTCGCTGGTGCCTGGGAGCCCCTGCACTGGAAACAGGCAGCGCTGCCATCGAACAAAGCCCAGAAAAATACACAATACAAACTTAAGAGGATGCGGTTTGCAAGCTTTAATCGAAGACTTTGAGAAACTACTGATGTTCGTAGTCGCTGATATCTAAACTTCACATTGTGTAAGGTAGGTATATTTGTGCCACGAAAGTTGTGATATAGGAACTGAGTGGGGGCTTGTTACTTTAGGCGTTGAAGCAGGACCAAAGGAGGATAAAAGTGAAATATGGAAATGGAACTGTGTGGATTCTAGTCTCACAATTATCTTACGTTCATAATTAATACCTAGGTACCTTAGCTTTCACTGTCATCACATTGTTCAGTAATGCGATCGGAAGGAACCATGGTTCCAATTTCAAGGTGCAAATACCTTCCTCGTCTAGGGGTGTCTGTTTTCGCCCAAAACTCCTGAACGCCTAACCCAATTTTTTTTTGTCCGTCGCGAAATGCCAAACTATTCGTGACGCGTTTCCCGCAGCATAAATCTTCCCCATAGGAAAAAAAAAAAAAAAAAAAAAAAGGCCNGGAAAAAAAAAAAAAAAAAAAAAAGGTCCAAAAAATCTCTATCCCGTGTCAAACCTAAACCTCATCATCTTCAGTTCTCCCTCCTCCATTAATTCCAGCCTTAGAATGTCGGTTTCTGGCAAGCCTTCAGTCCCCTCTCTCAGCCAACATCCCGGGGTTTTCGGATTGTTGTATTCATGCACTTAGATTGTTGACTCGCTCCGTGAGCTTCTCCCGCAGCTGTTCCGCCAAAAACTGTCGATAATCACTCCCTTCAGCAATAACCAACTCGCTAGCACATTGAACGAGCTCGTTCCAGCCGTTGGACTGAATCGTGGTAATGAAAGAATGCAATATGTCTCTCCGGAAAATCTCGCTTTCGCTGGCTGCTATGTTCGACAAGAACCGCATCGTGTTACGCAGCTCTCTGGTGGTCTTTTGCACTTCGGCATCGCTGGTCTCTGTGACGATTTGGCGTTCGACGTCCTGCTGAGCCTCGGCAGTATTGACCCGACCAATGGTGTTATTCCAGTCAGGATCAGTGTTCTCTTTGCGATCAGGCTGGGCGTCTTTGCGTGGTCTCTTGGTCGCAGGCTTAACGTCTTCGTCGTCAGAATTGATATCAATGACCTCAATGTGACCTTGAAGTGTGGCGGTCGATTCGTCCCTCTCTGCGCGTCTTTTGTTCTTTCTTGGTACTTGCGAAGCGGATAATTGTCCTTCTGACGCCGTAGAGCCGCCAGCAAGAGTGAAAGGCGTGGATGTCTCTGGCTCCCTTCTCTTCCGAGACTCGTTCTGATGGACGGCTCTTGTCTGATGGGTCGCTTCTGGTCTTGGCATGGGGCCTGTTGGCACGTCACCGTAGCCTACTCCGGCATAGTTTCTATGCTGGGACTGAGCGAACTCGGCTCCTCTCATCGCTCTCTTGATCCCATTCTTCGAGTACACCTTGTCCCCCATGCTGCAGCCTCTGAGGTAGATCATCCCGTCGTAGTATTGACGGAACGTGGGGTTCTCCAACCAATGTTCGGGAATTTGGAGCTGATGCCTCAGAATAGCAGCGCAGACCTGCCACTCGACAATGGCAACGTCTCCTTTCAACATTTGTTTGACCACCCGGACCGTACGGTTGTGGTATATGTCTCCCGAATTGCCCAACGTCTCGCTTTGCGTGAAAGCTCGGGAAAGGTCGACGATCACGAAGTTCTTCTCGGCTTCCGAAAGCAAGACGTCGGCGACGTCTGCGTTGAAGAGGCTGACCGTCAAGTTCAGCCACTTAGCTTGCTTGGGAAAGTACCCCCGCGGTTTATAGCGGTACTTGGCATGAGTCGCAGCCGATGTGACGTGCCGCTGGCTGCTCATTCTGTCCCGGAGCGATTTGACGAAGGTAGTTACTACTGGAAAACCTGCTTTCGGGCAAAGTTGGTCCTGTTTATCCAGTAACAGGAAAGAGGAGGAAGCCGTTGTTGTGATAAGGTTATGGGTGAAAGATGTGTGTTGTGTTTGCACTCCGAAAACTAGATTGCCGACAGGAAGTGAGAATTCAAGAACCTAAAGGCAAGAGTGATGCGGTTTTGGATTGTTGTTCAATATGTTGAAAACGAAAGAAAAGAACTCTTGCAATACTTTCGCTGTTGTCGAGTTGATGTTGTGTTTGAGCGAAACTCGGGCACGCCAAGAGCCAATTTCAGATAGTGAAAATAGGACCGATGGGTTCGTTTGACGGAGGGAAGGTGACTCAAGAGGAATGTGAATTCTTCGGTTGGTGAAATATGAGTTCTGCTTCAGAAGTTTTAGATGAATAAAGAAACAAGAAGGTGCGTACGGCGATTGCTCTTTACTTTGCGAAGAGAACGTGTTGCAGTTAGAAAAGGAAAAGGATGATATGATGCGGGATGATATGCCGCACTAGAGGTGTTGTGAGAATGATGTTCGATTCAAGACTGGGAAGTTAGAAGTTGAGTTAAGTCTAAGGCTTGGCTTGTATTTATATAGCTGCGCTGAGGCGGTGATGTTGGGACAAAAGCTAGCTCGCTATAGAGAAAAGTCCTTCAGCCCTCTTGTAGTGCCATCAATTCCCAGTGCCTCCTTCTCATCATCTCCCAAGACGCCAAGCGCCTGCCTCCGAGTAGGCGCGTTCGCATCAAAGTACGGCTTCTCCGCAAGGGAAGTCACCCGGGTGCCGTGACGCGGGTGCTTGCCTTCGTAGTCCCAGCTGGCATTGTGAATGGTGATCCTGTAAAATCGTCAGCTCATACCTTTCACAATCATTCTTGTCAACCATCAACTAACCTATTGTCCCACAGGGCACTTGTGTTCGGCGTCCACTTGAACCGCACCTGGATATCCACATTCTGCTCGTACACATCAAACAGGTATCCCAAAATCACATCGCTCTCCGCCTTGTCCAGCCCGACGATGCGGTCCGTCATCGCGCGGTTCACCCACAGCGCCTTCCATCCAGTCGCGGGGTGCACCCTGACAAGCGGGTGTGCGCGCTCGATGTGCTTTGGCCCGGCCTCCTGGTTGTCTCGGTCGAGGTACGCGTGCGCGGACTTGTACACAGCGTAGCGGCCGTCAATGATCTTGCGGAAATCGGGCGACAGCTTCTCGTACGCGGCGTAACCGCTTGCCCAGAGAGTATCACCGCCGATGGGCGGAACGGTGTCGTTGTGCAGATGTGTGACGCCCGCGGGCTGGCGCTCGTGGACGAGGTCGGTGTGCCAGCGGGAGGCGCCGCCCGGGTTGCGGAAGTTGGCCGGGCGCTCGGTGGCCCACAGGGCCGGCCAGATGACGGAGGCGCCGAGGACGCCGGGGACTTGAGGGACTTGGGGCTGCGTGGGGGGCCTTTGTCAGCAAACACCGTTCTGGGCACACCGATACGGTGGTTTAGTGACTAACATGGACTTCAACCTCTCCGAACCATTCACCAAGCTCTTTCTGCTGCTGAGGTGAGAGGTCCTGGTCTCTGAAGAAGACAACGCTGCGCTCGGCGATCAAGAGCGCGAGCTCATCCTTTTGCTCAGGGGTGAGGTCCTTGAGTTGCAGACCCTCGATTTCGGTACCGATATGCGTCGTCAAGTCCGTGACTTTAGTCGCGGCACCCAGCAGGTTCTTCTTGGACTTGTCGGCACGAGCGCCGGCGTCGACGTATTCGCGCTCCTTGTTGCGGATGTTGATGGCATCCTGCAGGAAGAGGGGTCTTGAGGGGCGGTACGGGTAGCCGTTGGAGAGGTCCACGCCGGCCTTTGTCAACCTTGCCTTTGCGGGCTCGGGGAGGCCGAGGGTGTCCTTTCGCGGCTCCGCCACGTCTGTGATAGCTGGGTCGATGGGGGCGGGGACCATGATTGTGGTTTTCTGCGTGGGGGTTTGAGGAGATCTTAATTCGGACGGGAAACGATGTGGATATAGACGTTGTTTAATTTGTTGGCAAGATGATGGAATCTTCGCAGAGAAGGAACGAGCTGCTATCATAAACGTCCTTCAAAGCTGCAACTGCCTTCCTTTATACTGGGCAAACAACGTTATGCCCCAAGCTTCCCTCCAATGACACGGTCACCATATGCAAGCTTCACAGCGCCAGCAAATGCTCACCAATCGAGCTATGATTACCAATAATCGCGGGGTCGACGGCCATTTAGACGACTTATCTATGGCTCAATCTGCATCAACTGTGACGAATCCAGGGACCTCTGGGCGAGATCGAACCACTCGAGTCACGGATCTCGGGAAACGACTCGCGAACCAAATCCTTTGGCGCAGCACGCCATACAAACCAACCAACAGCATGTTTCCTGCAACACCGAGATGCAACACTCCCAGAGATGGTGTCGTGAAATAACAGCAACAACGAGTGAGCGGGGTCCCTCTCAGCTCCCCCGCGCGCGGCCGAATTGGTCGTTGGGGATATGTCGCGGATCCGGGGTTGTCAGCTTGCCGCGCAAGTGGGGGTTGCGCGATACAAGGGGCCGATTGTGTGCTTGTGGACCAACGGCAGGCCAGACCCTTTGTGACGCGATCGTCAGCACCCAACTCAGCATTTGGATGCGCTTCGGAAGCTAAATAGGCGTGGGCTAACCCGTCTTGTTTGACGGGATGCTGTCAGCTTGGGTGGTCGCCTTATCTCCGCTCCGTTGGAACTATCCTTTGGACTTGGAGGAGAGTCTCCAAGAAACCAAGGTACCAGGCGGCGATCTCCCGACGTCCAAGGCTGGGCGATTTGTGCTTAGTCTTGGTGCCTCGTAGAATAGCCAACTTGGCATCGGGGTAAACAAGAGAGGTAAAGAGGCTTCTTGAAGGCACCAAGTCTTTCACACAGATACATGAGAAACCGCCACAATGAGCCATATTTTGCCTTGAACAATCCCATCCCGCTTTATCTTCGCGGGATGATGTCGGATGTTGCCCGCCACGGGTGCCCAACAGCAGCAGCACGCCATCGTATCCAGAATCATCGTCAGCGGGAAAAGCCCAGTTTTTGGCCTTGCCGCCGCGAACTTGTCCGATGTTGCTCCGATAAGACCCCTACATCAAAAGAAAATTCACATCCGATGGGATGTTGGTTTGCATGTATAAAGCGCGGCGCTTGCTGCCAGTGTAGTACTTGGTCTAGACTGTTGTAGATCCTGACGGGCATTGCGCATTGTCTTTGATTGGATTGCCGGTGCCGTCTGTATTTCTCGGCTCTGCAGCCTATTCTTTCACAATGTCAGTCACCGAGGTCAACGAGAAGACGGCCGCCGTCGACTCGCCACGGAGCAAATCCCCGACCTCTGTCGATGTCGACTCCGCCGCGGGGCATCTCGTCGAGGAGAAGCCCAAGCTCACTTGGAAGTCGTACGTCTGGGATACCCTGGACAAATCTCCCGAGGAGCGCAAGTTCATGTTCAAGCTCGATGCCATCATTCTCACCATGGCGTCACTCGGTTACTTCATCAAGAACCTGGACCAGATCAACATCAACAACGCGTTCGTGTCTGGTATGAAGGAGGACATGCAGCTTTTTGGAAATGAGCTGAACTACATGCAAACCTGTTGGACTGTTGGATATGTCCTTGGGGAGATTCCAAGGTTAGTTGCTCACGCTTTACATCGTGGAGGTCTTGTTTCTTGAACATATGGCTGACACTGGACTACAGCAATTTACTACTCACTCGCGTTCGCCCCTCAATCTGGATCCCCGCCTGCGAAACGACCTGGGCCATTCTCACCATTCTCATGATCAAATGCACAAACACCACCCAGCTCTATGTCCTCCGTTTCTTCATCGGCCTCGCCGAGAGCACGTTCTATCCCGGCATGCAGTACATCATCGGCTCTTGGTACCGTAAAGACGAACTAGCCAAGCGATCCTGCATCTTTCACGCCAGCGGTAGCATAGGTAAGCCAAAATTTCCCTAAAGCTCTCACTAATCTTCTGCAAGGTGATCATGCTCATCTCTCCTTCAGGATCCATGTTCAGCGGCTACCTCATGGCAGCTGTCTACAACCTCGACGGCGTCCACGGCTGGAAGGGGTGGCAATGGCTCTTTATCGTCGACACCGTCATCTCCCTCCCCATCGCCCTCGCCGGTTTCTTCCTCCTCCCGGACGTCCCCGAGATCGCCAAGGCGTGGTACCTCAGCGACGACGACATCGCGCTCGCCCAAAAACGGATGCAACTCGAGGGCCGCGCTAACCGCCAACCCTTCACGAAAGCAAAGCTTAAGAAAATCTTCACAAGCTGGCACCTGTACACCCTCACGGCGCTGTACATATTCTTCAATAACGGCTGCGGTCTTCTTGGCCAGCCGGGCTTCCAGCTCTGGCTCAAGGGTGCGGGTTACAGCGTCAAGGAGGTCAACACGTACCCAACCATCACTTCGGCCATCGTGGTCATCACGACGCTGATATACGCGTGGTCTTCCGACACGGTGTTCAAGGGCGCGCGATGGCCGCCGATCGTGTTCTCGGGTCTGGTGCAGATTGTTATCTACTCGAGTCTCACGGCGTGGGATATCCCGATCGCGTGGAAGTGGGGATGCTTCCTTTTGGCAGGTTTTGGGGGCGGTATCAGCGGATTGACCTTTGCATGGGCGCACGAGATCTGCAAGGATGATAATGAGGAGCGCGCGCTGGTGACGGGGTCGATGAACCAGATGGCGTACGTGTTCCAGGCATGGCTGCCGCTGCTCATCTGGCAGCAGGTGCAGGCGCCGCAATACCCGAGGGGATACCCCACGATGGTGGCGCTAAGTGTCGGGCTCATTGGGACGTCGTTCTTGATTCGGTATCTTCATCGGAGAGAGCTGGGAAAGAAGGTGTTGGCGGTTGCGGCTTGAAATTGGGTTGAGTTATCACAAGACAAGACGCTGCAGTAGCAAAAGATCAAAGTGCAGATTGTTTCAGCGACTACGAGGGAATTGTTCGATGTTATGGTTCAACGAATTCGAGAAACACATAAAGTTGCTGTAATCCTCCTCTGAAATTATGTCATTAATCAATAACTTCAATTCCAAGAACTATTGGATCTATGCGTTAGACGTCATTATAGTACGAAATTGTACCAAGACTGTAGCCATAGACTAATCCGCAGTCAAGTCCCTAGTATCAGCCCATTTACTTCGCAGACATATCTAAGAAGAACTGGTTTCTTTCTAAGAGGAGGCTTCTTCAGCGTGGTGCTCTCAACTTCAAGCTGACATGCGGAGGTCTACGCGGTGGTAGTACGCCCGTCAGAGGGCTGTCGTGATAGCAGGGCGCCTGGACGCGGGCTGTTGAGCGGAGGGTGCTTAGTATGAATCAGCTTAAGGCTCTGTATTCCACGGCCTGACCAGACATACCTTCAGGAAATCAAGACCGAGCCTGGCTTCTTGCCAATGTCGCGCTTCGAAGGCTTGTGGCTTTTCCAGGGCTCTTCGCCCCAAGCCTCGTGGTCTGGAGGGAATCCAGCCAGCTGGTATTGCACACCACCATTGACCGCCAGCCCATACTTTGATTTGTCAAAGTCCTTGTTCCTTGTCGACTTTCCGAGATATCTGCCATTCAACGGCCTCCAAGAAACGATCTGCTCGTACTTGATACCTCCTAAGGCCGCGAATTCGCCTTCCTCATCGAATTCGCTGTATTTCCCAAGAGTCCCAACAGTATCGATCAGGTTCGGAGTAACATGGATCTTGTAAACGAAGGCGGAAGGCTTCCCGTACACAAAGGTAGCCGCGACGGCCTCGCTGGAACTGGTTGAGACGTATCCGTCTTCATCCCGGCTGCCGATGCTACGGGTACCCTTCATGTGGTTGAAGAGGCTGGTGTCTGGGTCTTGAAGCCCAAAGCTTGCTTGACCCTTGGGGAGAAAACCCCCGAGCATTTTAATCTCCTCAGGTGACCTTATATCGCCACGATAGACGTGGAACACTAGGAGAGGCGCTCCATGGCAAAGAAGACACCACAAATGGGTCCCCAAGAAGAAGAGAAGAAGCGGGAGTTGTCCAAACATTCGGCCGAAGAGGACCAACACAGTGGGGCAGAGTGGTCAAGTCGAGAGAGAGTAAAAGCTAGGAGGCTGCTTAAAGGTAGAAAAGAGTACAGCAAAAAAACAAAAAAAGCCGATATGAGTATCCGTAGTAAGGGGGTGGTAAGCAAATCAGGAAGCGACAAAGATCAATCAGAGACCGACTTATAGATATGGGCCGACAAGATGTGGTATGCATATTTGCGTAAGGGAGATCTTTGCTTGCATTGTTTTGCAATTTTATTTAATCACCTCTTAAGGAGGTGCGGGAAAAAAGTAGAAAAAGTTTAATTTTCAGCATAAATAGGCCCAGTCTTTCAAAGACTTCACATGCCTTTGCCTTCCCTTTTTCTATTGTTTTGGAAATAGCCCAAGGGATAGTCTGTCATCTTTTCCGTAAACTTCCAGGGCGGCTCGTGTCTGAATTCAAGCCGCAGCTTCCATTGCATCGCTTCGTCGTCGTTGGAATGAACAGGCCGGTGTGGCACATTGCGCGTAGCCCGACAGCGGTGTCACCGAACTTATGTGCGGGCCTTTTTGGTGATGCCGTAATCATTCAACGGGACCACCGAGCTTTCGATGTCAGCCACTATAAGTCCAAAACTTATCGTACACGGGACCTAACCGTTCCCTGTCGCGGTTCGCTAACAAAGCTAAGAGCTAGTAGAGAAGGCCAGCATCCCGAAGCCCGGGGAAAGCGGTTTGTAGGTGAAATCCATTAACCATCTATTAGAAGTTACTGCTTGGCAAATGACTCAGGCATCACCAACCCCAAATGCCAGTGTCTTGCTCTGCCTGTTGGAACGAACGAGGCTGCTAGCAAGCGCCGCGGAAAAAGTAGGGAGCACAGTGGGGCCTTCTAGCATTGTAATATAAGGCATGTTGGAGGGCACTGAACTACATACAAATGGAGGCAAAGATGAAAGTTGCTATAATAATGCTCTGAAGTACTATTACTAGTAGTTTTGTTAGGTGTTGGACAGGGTGATTAACCCCTGGTTGTCAAGAGACAAAATCCAGCTATATTTACTCTGATAAACTATGATGTGATGAATCGCATCCTGTAGTGATACGGATAACCGATGGGGCAATGCACTGCATTTATGTGATCGCCAGACCGTTTTAGACGTTGATTGCACCCAAATTCTTGCATGTACTAGTGATACGAATCTTGGCCCGGTTTTGAAACTGGTTTGTGGCCCAGTGTGATCTGTAGAACGCGTGGGCATTGTTGCCGGATTGAAGGCTGAGTGAAAGTCTTGTCAATACATTTCCGTTAAAAAGTCGAAGGTGGTTTGCGAAGAGGATGGAGGATGAGGGCAAATGCACGCGAGGAAGAAAATGCTTACCGGGAGATTGCCTCTCTGTATTGGTCGTCGAAAGAAGTCCGCGAGCGTTGCACCATTGACTTCAAGACGGTTTCGACGTACAGTTTCCATTCGCTCTGGAGACTTGGGATCGTGACCGTATTGCCACTCTGGGCATACCAGGTGTCAAAATGTCCGAGTGCCGTGTAGATATTTTCGTAAGTGCGGCAATACATAGACCAAATCGTTGGGTAGTTCATTTATTCAAAAACCAGGTCTACTAGCGGTCATGACTCTGGGGAACATCAAACTCGAGGAATGAGGGGAACGAAAACGATTGAATATTGCACCGCTGGCCGAATCCGATGGAAGCGCGTTCTCGACCAACATGGAAGACTTACCCAACTCTTTCGTAGCTTGCAACTGGGCGTCCATGCTCATCTTCTTGAACTCTTTGAAGTCGGTGCACTGTTTCCCACTGAACATCTGAAGTCCATAGTGTTGGAGTTGAGATCACGTCTATTATACAAGGCCTTTTGGTGGCGGAGAAGGGGAGGACTTACCCGGCCTTTCATCATGTTGGGCCTGTTTTTGTAAATGGCCAGGCGGTCCTTGTGAGCTTCGTTACCCAGCTCTGACGTCAACAGATCAATGAAGCCCACTACTTGGCCATTGGCATCGGTCCATGGCAAAGCAGAAGAGTTGTCAAACATCGTCCTTTCAATGATGGCGCAGGGCATCTTGGGGGTAGGGTTGGAAGGAGGGGGCATTTGCCCGGGGATATAATCCTTGTCTAACCACGAGTTGAAAAATTGACTGATGGTCTGCCCTTCGAAGACATGCTCAGCTGCGCGGAGGTCTAGATCAGTTGCCCGCCGCCGCAAAAGAGATGGTAACTCGAGAGAACTCACTGTTGTACGGCGATCTGATGAGGGCGCCGTTAACCCACTCGGTGTCCGCCTGGGCCAGCCTGGTTACCGACCAGTCCGAGCATGATGCCGACGAATTTCCCCAGTATTTCGAAATGCTGTCCCACCTGCCGTTCTGTATTCCGTCCCAAGGATTCGCTGCGGGTCTCGGAAAGGCTGGGTACATGTATTCACCCGCAGTCTCCCAGGCTTGTTTGCATATTGTCATGTCTTTGCTCATCATGGTGGCTGTGCCGGCTTTGCGCTTGTCGAGCAGCGCAAAGTCGCCGTTGTTCTCCGGATTCGACGTCGTGTGATCCCGTGCATCTCTTTTGGCATTGGGCACGGTGCCGGGCCAGCTTTCACCTGGTTCGGCCTTGTCGCGCTCCGGGCAGGACGGCATGTCCCTATCCCAGTAGACGACGTTCATGTTCTCGCAACCGCAGCACTTTCCGGAATTCTCGTTTGCGCCGTTTCTGCTACCGCAGCTCAAGCAGTGTGTACACGAGAAAGCCGATTTGCCCGAGAAATCGTCCCCCATGTCCCCAGGAAGGTACTCTGTGGGATCGATGTTGCTGCCAGAATTGTAGTTCCATCCTGGCATCACTCCGGCAGCGGGAGATGCGACGGGATCGCACACCTTGCCGTCACTTGGAGCTTGCTATGAGGGGTCAGCATCTGATGTGTCAAGAAACCAGTCGAGCAACACATACGCTGTCACTAGCAACCTGCACCAAGCTTGATGTTTCGTCCCATCCAACGCTGTCCCTGTGGAACCGATGAGCTTTGTACTTCCAAGCGAATGAATAGACTTACGCATTCTTGACGCTTTGGTAGACTCCGGTACTATGTTTTTGTAAGATACGAGGCTCTAGAATGCGGTTAGAGGAGAACTTACGCGATTTTGTAATCAGTGCATGCCGTTGAACCCCCGCTGCCCGGGAAGAAGCTGAACTCTGCCATGGTGCCATAATTCAAAATCATCTATAGTAAGATGTGGTCAGATTGTGGTGGGTTTCTTCAATAATTCAAACTGATCTCTGGAAGATCAACTGTCCAACCGCTACCGAGGCCGCGTCCCAGGTTTGCAAACTGGATCTTCATACCAAATTTGATGTAGGTACCGAGAGCAAGTCTTCCACCGTTGCCGGTACTACCGTAAAGGACATTTTCGTCGGGGATGGAAATCTGGTTCTTCAATCGATCACTATCTCTGATCCTCAACCTGTCTTCTTTGGTTGGGGGAAAATAGGCGTTGAAGTCACCAAAGTCCGACTTGACCCTCGCGCTAAGCTGGCCGTTGAAATAAGGCCCACTGGGACTGCGAGTTCTTGGTATCAACTAGTTCTCAATCTGCACCCCACCCCTTCTGAATGCCCAACCTCATCAACTCTTCTCGTGTGGCGAAAGGCCGCTCGAATCTGGTCTCGAACACGTCCCTCACAGTGCCCACGCCTTCCAAAACCGTACGCATGCGCGGATCATCCGGATAAGGGTTTTCACCGCTGTCGTAAAGAAACTCCATGACCTCTTTATCCATGTGGATTCCTCGTCCGGGCAATGTAAGCTTCTTATCATCTCGGATGATGACCCGGGGCTTCACGGATCGGCTTCGCCATCCGAGGTCATCGCGGATACGAAAAAGTACGCTTCTGTATCCGCCACTGTTTCTCACGAACCACAGAAAGCTGAGCTCCACCGAGCGGAGTGTATCTGGAAGCGCTCGGAGAAGGTCGAGAAGGTCGTTCTCTTTGACCAAGAATCGAGACAGTCCAAAATGTCTCAGGTGCGTCCATGCTTCGACTGGAAAGATGGAGCGTAGTGGTGTGAAGTGGTCGACGGGATTCTCCGGAGGCCAGGGTCGGGAAAAGCTCAGGTTCGTGACTTCATCGGTTTCCAGGGCGAAGGACTCTAAGTCGGCGGTCAGAAGTTGCCGCAAGCGACCGTTGCGAAAGGCAGCATAGTTCTGTTCGGCGTGCATGCCCACCATAATGCTAAGCTTGAGCATCGAGAAACCAGGTTTTCGGACTAGAGCAGCGAGGTTCTTGTATTCTTCACATGGTTCTTGCGTTGAGAAAATCTCACATGTAAGTCCCGAATTGATCTGATTGCCATCAATGACCACCTCTGGGACGGTTGCGTACTCTTGCTGGGCGAGAAGATGAGTGACAATACGGAAGCCGCGCCATTTGTCCTTGATGGCTTCCTCTTCCCAGCTTTCGCAGGGGATTCTGGCTCCGAGTGGCGGCGTAGGCCAGCTGCGAGGAAGGGGGTAGTTGAAGCCGTATGGGAATGCACGGATCATAGGCGTAGGATACTGAGGGAAGAAGAGGATACCATGAGCAGCAGGCGTGATTGTCACTCTCCGTAGATTGGGAAACCGTTTCTCGGCCAGAGCCCATTTAAAGGCGGCACTGTCAGCCGCAGTAGCGAGAACCTCTTCCTGATCACGGACCACCCCTCGATAGTAGTCGTAAGCTACGTCGAGAGGAAGCTGGGCAGCAAGCTGTTGTGCGGTTTCGACGTGCTGCGGCAGTGTTTCGACGTCCCTTCCTCGCCATTTTCGCAGATAGTCTATGTTCTCCCGACATGCTGTAACGAACCACAAGGGAACTCCCTCTGGCACAGGCGTATCCTCGGAGTCCGAGTCCGCAGCGTCATATCCGTATCCACTGTGGTAACCTGATTCCTCTTCCAGGGAAACCATGAAGCGTGCATCGTCCCAGACAATCTCACGAACGTCATGGCGAAACGTCTCATGATTTGCAATATTTCTGAAGACTTGGATATTGTGGTTGCTTGCTGATATAAAAACACGCTTCAAGCTGAGGTGAGGGGTGACGACTTTGGAAAACCGTCTAGAAGCCAAGCGCAATTTCTTGAGGTCGGAATTGGGCAGATGCGCGAAGATGGCCCCGGAAAGCTCTAATGGAAGCCCAGCAAGAAATTCCACGATGGTGCCCGCTTCCGCCGGGGTTGAATCTTGGTGAGGAGTTGCCATTGGAGGCTGCGAAGACAATCGGTGGGGAAGGAGAGAAATGGTGCTGTGTTTGGTCGCCGAGAGTGCAGCCATTTTCTTATTTTAATATCCACGAGATCCAACGTCCGTACCCTGGTAGGCGCGGAAGCTGCTGCAGGGATCTTTGGTGGGCTCGACAATGTATAGTTATGTGCATACTTTGTGCATGCGGCCTAAGTTGCATCCAAGCCCGCTATGCATTGTGATTGCATAGTAATCCAGCAGGGCTTGCATTACGGTCACCTAGTGTAATATAGCGGGGCTTGCTTAGGTACTTCGAGCATAGGCTTAGGTACTTAGTTATATGTTTAGGCTCGCCTCAGAGTAGAGCGGCGACTGCTCAGGACTGCGGCCAGAAAAAGCGGCGGAGATCAGTGAGACGAACGGATATCTCGCCATCAGAATGAACCAAGTACCAGCGATATTACCTACCCAATACATTGATCTTAGTATTATTTTCTTGTGTTTTTTTTCTTTCTTCCCCCCCCTCCTCCTTTTATTGTCCCTTTTCCTATTATTTTAGAAATAGCCTAAGTGATAGTCTATCGTAATAATAGGCTCTATCTCAGTAATCCCACTGGTGCTCTTATCTTCTCTTATTGCTTTCCATCCGATGTATTGAATCAAATCACAGTCCCGACTTTGATCATAAATCTATCATGCTCGCAATCTGAGTCATGGTGTCGTCAGAGGATACAATTGACACAACTAGAGGAGAATAATGGGCCCGAGATCCAAGCCGCGATCAGCAACTTCTCCATCCATTAACCCGTGCACATACGCTTCTCCTATGAATCTGCACGGTTTTGTCGATAAAGAACCGTCATCCGTATCTTGGGCATCTGCCAAGGGTCGCAGGACGTAGAATACGGAGCCCCCAACCAAGAATGCTACAGAATCGCCAGGTTCGGCCATAACGGGGACGAGAGTTATCATGCCGCTTGAGGTGATTGCAATCCTTCGGGAGATCGTGGAACCACTCGTGTTGGCGATTAGGTCCTGACCTACAGCACCAGTGATGTTCGCATTGGTGGCTCTATCGAAGATGTCGTCTACCGAGCTGTTCTCACCCCGCAGGCTAGTCGCAAATATGGTCCTTAGCAAAGCCGTTCTTGTGCTTTCGTGTGTGAGCTCGTAGACGGGAGGAAGCTCGTCAACTAGCTGCGCGTACTTCTGCAATACTTGAAGCCTTCTCCCTTGTTCTGTGTGGCCCTCCGGCATATCTGGCGCCGTGGCGACAACATAGCTTATGACATCGACCACGGCCCCAGATAGATTCAAGCCCCCTGTCATTGAGTTGATCGACCAGGGATAGCTTTGAAATGAAAAGTTGCGAGAGGCGTTGTACTGCCAATCGTGATTGTACCACGGTATTCTGAATGTGAAGGCAAAGCTGCAACCAAATCGCGGCAGCCATCCTGGCCACGACCTCGAATCCTCGTGTACAAGTGGGAAGTGTTTATCGTTAGCGGGGTCTCTGCCAGTTAGAATGTCCAGGGTCCCGTTCCTGAAAAGGTGTGCCCGTACAGCGTCAATGTACACGCCCCGGACATCCCGGTTGTAGTCGGGCACGATGTCTCCTGGCATAAGATCGGAGCAGATGCCGAGTAAGCTGTAAATCCTATCTCGTGGGTCAAGACAAAGACTATCTTTCGACCTGATGAGCAGATCCAATAGGTTTAGCTTGGTTTTGCCGTTATTTTTCGATCGATCCAAACGTGTAACCGTCTTTCTCAAGTCCAAAAAGTCTTTGATCCAGCCCCACCTGCAAATCCAATCGACATCCTCCGGTGGAAGCGGATATCTCGCCATCAGAATGAGCCAATAAGCAACATTCCGTAGCTCATGGTAATTCATGCGAATTTCTCCGAATAAGAACTGAACTCGATGTGCAAGAACGAATTCTTGCAAAATCCATGCGCGTTGCCACCAAGGACTGTGTAGGATGAAGTCCATTCGACCCTCCCGAGACATGGACGCCAGAGTATTCTATAAGCTTCAGAGAATACCATCTACAAAGGGATCATATTACTCCGCCAGCCGATCATAGAATCTGATTGTTTCTGCGTACTTACCGGCAGTGTCTTACGCCTCTTTCCCAAGTCAAACAATGACCTCTCGAGCGGATTTGTAAGTCGAGGACATGCGGAGAACCTGAGAGTTGCGCTCTACCAAATCTTCCTGGTTGATGCAAATAGCATCAATCCATAATTTAGAGTGATCCATTTCTGGGTGAGCCGCTGCGAATGTTCACAAAACCTTCCAAGTTGAGAGTAATCCTCAATGGTTTCCCGTCCAGAAGGATCATGCTTGTGTGTGTGGGGTCGCCCCAAGTTCATGGAAGGGCGAGGAAGTCGCTACTATCAAGGCATTCCTGTGTCATTGTACATTCGACAATACCACGTTCGTGATTAAAAGACTCAAGTTGGACGAGGCGAATATCGTTCAATCCTAGTGGACCGTACTCAAATCTGACTTGGAGGCATTGGTCGGACATCTTGGTTTGGGACATGTTGCTGAATCGTAGGACTAGCCAGGTTAGTGTTGTAGTGTTGTCGAAATGCAAGTCTGGTGTTCCGGTTACATCCAATATAATTGTGATGTGGTCGTGGTTAGCAGAGAGAAAGGTGAAAACAGTCACAGCATGATCTCTATCCGCAAAATCATCGGAAGCAAAATCCGCCTACCTAAATGCAGGAGTGAGGCGCAGTTGACCAGAGCCAACGCATCAGCGGGCGGCAAATGGCGGCATCTTACTGGTTGATAGAAACACGATGCATGTCAACGGCAGCCAAGAGGAACAGATACACGAGAACTATGTGGGGCGGTCCGTTTGGAATTTCGCAGGCTGATGTCGCCGTCGCTCAATTTCTGCATGCGTCCATTCATTGCCTAAGTCTTCCGACGTGCGATGTCTGCGTCAACATGGCCGAGCTTGCTGCTATTGGACTCGCAAGCAATCTTCTTCAATTCGCCGAGCTTGGTGTCAAGCTCTTTCGACTTGCGCGCGAATCCTACGAGTCTGGCTCTACCGCTCAATATGAGGCATTGAGGGACCAGGCCAGGAGCGTTCAGGAGTTAGCGGGGAGAACGCGAATGGTCTGCAAGGGGTCAGACTCTCCGCGAATGGGTGGACTCCATCGGATAGCACTGAAATGCGACGATGCTGTTTCTGGTCTTACGGAAATACTCACGAAGCTAGAGTTCGATGCCAGCAAAGAGGAGAAGGGGTACAAAAAAGCGTGGAGGAGCGTCGCGCAGGCGCTTCAGAGTGTAGCCCATGAGAACAACATCAGGAAATCCGAGGAGAATCTGAAAAGCGTCCGGAATGAACTTCAGGTATACATTTCTACAATCGCCTTATATTTCTTCCCTTCTAACTTTTCTTCTTCGCAGTTTGCTGCCTGGAGGCGCACCTTATTAACTGCTGTATGACTCTTATGGGGAAATATTTAAGGGCTAGGATAGCTTATAGAGAAACCTCTATAGCTACCTATAGGGTTATATAAAGAGAGTATAAATCACCTTATATATATATAGGGGGTAGGTATCTCCCTCTTTATACTACTATAACTTATTACTCCTTTAATATTAAGATATTATTACTATACTATATTAATACTATTTATTACTATTACTTTAAGAGTAGTAATAACCTCTTTATAATTACCTAAAATAACTAAAATAAAGTATATAGATTTTTATATATATAACTTAATCCCTTAGTATAAAACTTAATAGTATATTAAATATACTACTACTTTCTACTAGTATACCTTAATAAAATAATATATTTTTAAGCTAAAATATAGAGATATTTTAAGTAAATTAAAATAAAATTTAAGACGAATAAGCTATATAATATTAATTAAATTAAGCGTCTCGTATTATTAAAGTATAGTACCCTATTAAAGGAACTCGAGGACACGTACACGATTACTATAATATAGTAGTAGTTAATAGGGCGGTTAGATATATAGGGGGTGGTTAGAGTAGGGGGGTCCTCTCATATATCCCTAGTCATATAAGTATTCACAAAAGAATTCTTCACAAAACGTACAATCGCCTTGTGAGACGAATCTTCCTACTCTCTCTTGTAGAAAGTTGCGGCTAACCCTCTCGTAGCCAGGAACAACAAGATGCATCCTGGTCCTTGAAGAACTTATGCCTGCAAAGCGAAAGGCTGGAAGCCAGGACTTCAGACACATTGAAAGAAATCATGGAGAAGGTCAAAGAAATAGTTAAGAGTCTGAAAAACAAAGAGGAAGAGTGGGCTGGAGAGAACCATATTGCGATCGCTAACCACTTCTTCTGGATCAGCGGTAACAGCATGCAAAAGTCTCGACAGGGTTTGCTGCAGACCCTGCTTTACAAGGTCTTGAAAGAGGTTCCAGGTCTGATTGAATCCGTCTGCGGATCCCGGTGGCGAAATTCCAGCCATGGGTTTATTGAGCCTTGGGACGAAGCTGAACTAAGCCAGGCTCTATACATGTTGACTTCGACAACTCGGCTACCAGTGAGCTTTTGCTTCTTCATTGATGGCCTCGACGAATATACTGCCGGTGCTAAGAAATACCACGGCACGTTCGAAGATCTATTCCAAATACTCTACAAGTTGGCCTCTATACCATGCGTTAAAATCTGCGTATCAAGCCGACCATGGACCCAGTTCACAGAATCATTGGGTCCAAAGGTCGAAGAGTGGCAACTACGAATAGAAGATCTCAGCGGCGGCGACATTGAGAACTACGTCATGGCGACCTTGGGGAGCAATCCCTATTACAAACAGCTCGCTGAGAGAGATTTCCGTTGTCATCAGATCGCCAAGACAATTGTACAACGTGCACAAGGGGTGTTCTTGTGGGTTTATCTTGTTGTCAAGTCCTTACAGAATGGCCTTGTTCACGAGGACACCTACGAGGAACTCCAGTACAGACTGGAATATCTTCCCGGTGATCTTGACGACTTTTTTCAGCACATGATTGAGTCGATTGAGGACGTGTATTGGGACAACAGCTACCGGTATTTCAAGATCATGATCGAAGCAGATCAAGCTATTCCACTTCTAGCTTTTGAGTTCCTAGACTGGGAAGCCAAAAGCCCTCAGTATGGCCCTCAGTACGCGATGAGAATGAAGGTTGAGGTGTTCTCAGAGGAACAACTACAATCCACTTATGAGCGTGTAAGGAAGAGGGTTCACGCCAGATGCAACGATTTGCTGCATATCGAAAAGTCCTCTGTCAATTTCTTTCATCGAACCGCCCGGGACTTTTGCATCGATACTGGTGCCATAGACAGAATGGTAAAAAAGAGGGTAACGACCGAGTTCAATCCGTCGCTATCTCTTTGTAAAATCATGCTGGCACTGGTAAAATCTCTAGGAGACTCCGTTTTGCACGGTGATGGGCTGATGCATTTTGCTCGGAGAGTGGAAGAACAATTCCACGAAGACATATTGAAGAAAGCCAATTCTCCTCAACGGGCACAAGAGGATTTGAGAGTTTCATTCGACCTCCTAGACGAACTTGATCGATCAGTCGGCCAGATGTTCAGAGAGCTTGAGCCGACACCAAGCAAGCAGCCAAAACGCCAGGGAGTTCACTGGGTCAACTTCAGACACAGCAACGAGGTGGGCTTTAGAGACCCCACAGGTAAGACGTTTCTTGCAGCGTCTATTCAAGCGGGACTTTCTCTATATGTGGAAAGTAAGATCATGGAGGACCCGAGTCAAATTAAGAGCAAGAGTGGACGACCACTGCTAGACTACTCCTTGCGGCGAACTATGAGTAATGCATGGTTGTCACGGTCAACAGGGCTCGAAGGACCCATCAGCTCAATCGTGAAGCTTCTTTTGGAAAATGGAGCGGATCCTAATGAGAAAATGTCGCCGCAGATCGGCGAGATCGGCATCAAAACCCCTTGGGAACATTTCCTTCAAGGCTGTTACGACCATGCGTCAAGGGTTCCCGATACAGACTTGCATGAAGAGGAGATTGCCGAGACCATGATTTCTATGATAGACCATGGCGCTGATAGGAATGCATTAGCATGGGCTGAATCTGATGGGGCCAGAGAGGCTGACATTCCGGAGGTGGCTAGAATGTCGGGGCTGTCAGATTACGACGTCAACAGAGTCGAAAGCTCTCTTGAAAACGCCCAAGCGCGGGAGCAGAAGAAGAACCAGGAGAATGAACGACCGACCTTGCATTTGAATATTTTTGCGGTCTTGTTGAGTCTGTGGTGGCTGGAAAAGAAAGATCGGCGAGCGGCGTACATGCGTCTTCTTGTTGGTTTGTGGAACTTAGTTTGGTGGCCTAGGAGGTAGCAAGGAGCAGCCGACGGGCGAATTCCGCGCAAACTTTGCACCAAATCCGCTTCGATGACTTGTTGCAATCTGAGAACGGAATTTGGTTGCTTAGATCTCCATCGCTGTGCTTTCTTATCACGACTCGGAGTTGTTGTCATGGCAAGTGAATTTCGTAGCGTAAGATTACGATATATTCACTAGAAAGTACAACCTCGACGTCCACGAGACGAGCTTTCATTCCCAATATGGACACGAGGCAGCAGCGAGCGTGAGACAGAGTGGCGAACCGAAGGCTAGCATGGAACCCATGCAGTTCAAAAAGTGACCAGAATTCCGTCATAATTCGAGGTCTTTAAACAGCACAGCAGATCACAAACTTTTCCACAGAAACCTTTTTGAAAAAGATGTGGTGAGATTTCCAACGGAATTACCTCTGATTGTAAAATCCGGGTTGCTCAACGACGCAGTAATTAGCTCCTTGCTGCTGCCTTCATTCACTCCTCTAGCTGAAGATTGATTGGCCAATTAGAATAGAATGATCTGATGGCGGATGACGCACTCATTTGCGTTTGCATTACCCGAAACCCCTGCAAATGCGGCATTTATCGCCCCTCAAACGGGCTTTTTTTCGACTTCAATTGACCTCTTTTTCGATAATTACACAACGCGTAGCGTATACGCCGGAATAAAAAAGATACCTCTAAAATCAGCGAAATTAAAGCTATCGATTAGTATACTTTTTAATCAGGTATATAGAGTTTCTAAGAAGTTCATTTTTAGGCTAAAAATAGGCGGAAAACGACAAAAAACTCTATTTTCAATCAATAACGCGTTTTTAATCGAGAACGAACGTAGAAAAATCAACTTTTTGAAATAACAATACGCCTAACTAAAAAGTATACCAATCAATAGCCCTAAGTTCACTAATTTTAGAGGTATCTTTTTTATTCCAGCGCATACGCTGCGCGTTACGCAATTAATGGTTTTTTCTGGTTTTTTCTACTAAAAAGGGGGCTTTTTTGGCCACTGCGTTGAAAAAAAGCCGTTTTAGCCCCCAACTGCGACAGGGGTTTCGGGTAACGCAAACGCAAATGAGTGCGTATCTGATCAGGGGAGCACGGGCCATACACCACTCTGCACCGTACAATTTTTTGTTCCCTCACCCAAATCCCTGCACTTCACGAACACCACCAGTGCCCGCGCCACGAGACCGCAACAAACTCACCTCATTGTTTTCGATGACATGAGAAGCGCACTTCACAAAATGAGCAGGGTTCCCACAATAGCAACCGTCGTCCGCGGCGCCAGCGTCAACATCGTGCTCAAGGCCGACCAGCCGACGGGCCGCACCGTCTCCGGAACCGTCCAGGATGTCCTGACCCGCGGCAACCACCCGCGTGGGATCAAGGTGCGCCTCTCCGACGGCCGCGTGGGCCGCGTGCAGTCGCATGCAGGAGCCCAAGCATCCGGGGCTTCATCTGCCGACCAGCCGCAGGAGTTCTCGGGCGAAGCCCCGCCTGCCTTTGGGGACAGGCGAGGACCGGGGCGCCGGCAGGGTAGGCGGCAGGAGCAGGAGGCCGACTTGCCGTCGGCGCAGGTCGGACTTGATGCGTACATTCGGCCGACGAAGCAAAAGAAAGGTGGCCGCGGAGGGGCGGCGCAGGCTGCTGCTCCGGTGAGCGGGGAGACTGCTGCGGCTGTGCCTTCCGAGGTCGTCACCTGTCCTGTGTGCGGCACGTTTGAGGGGGATGCGGCTGCGGTTGAGCATCACGTCGCCAGCCATTTCGACTGAGAAGTTTCGTTTACTTCTGTCGTACACTCCTGATGGTAGCTTTCCCAGCTTTGAGGCTGTTCGACGACAAAGGCTGGTGCCTACTCCAAGCAACCACGAAGGACATGCGAACAACCTCAACAGCAAATCGACGTCACTTTCACGTTGATATTGAGCGGTCAAGATGCGGTCCTCGAAGGATGATTTTGTCTTCGCTGGAAGGGATCTCTAGACCCAAAGTCTAGCTACACTCATCACCAGCACCACTTTCTACCACGCAGGATGCAATGCTGTCGCCAAATACCGCGAAGGCAACTACAATCTATATCTGAATCCAGCAGTCTTCCAGTCAGTCACGTCCTCATAATCCTCGGGCCGCAGCTCGACACGGTCCACCATGTCCGCCACATCATTCGCGTTGCCATCAGCCTGCATCACCTTTCCGCCACCAACAGCACCAGCTCCTCCAGCGCTGCCCTCAAAACCCTCCTCTCTCGTGCGCTTGGCGTTTATCCACTGCAGGTAGAACCGCAGGCAGAGGGCAAGCACCACGACGAGCGAGTAGCAGATCATGATGGTCCGGAAGGCGGTGTTGTAGTGCGGCTCCTCGCTGGCCTTGAAGAACTGCGGCCCGGCGATGTTGCCCGCGCAGTACGCCAGGAACAGCAGTGCCGACATGGTCATCTTCTTGGTCACGCCGCGGTAGTTGGCCTGCACCAGCGACATGGCAAGCGGCATCGCTGCAGGGCCGGGCGAGAGGAGGAAGTACGCAAACAGCTGGACGCCGTTGCTCACGTGCTCGCGCGAGTAGATGATGGCCGCGCCCGTGATGCAGGGCAGCACGATCAGCGCGATGAGGATGCAGTTCATCTTGCGGAAGCGTCCCGCAACCCAGCCCGTGCCGGCAATCATGCCCGCGGAGAGGAGCGAGTAGGGAATGTTGATCAGCGTCGACTGCAGGCTCGTGAAGCCGAAGGACTTGATGACGAGGTTGGCAAAGTTCTGCGTGCCGCCGTTGGGAATCTGCGAAATCAGCTCGAGGCCGAAGATGAGCCACGTTTTGGGGTCGATAAGACACTCGCGCATCTGGTCCCACTTCCAGTGCGTCTTCTCCGTGCGCCCAGTGCCTGCGATGACGACGCGGTCGCCCGCGTACTGCCGCTCCTCGGGCGTCAGGAAGCGCGCCGAGGAGATGGTGTCGGGCAGCCACAGCCACAGGACAAAGGCCCAGACGAAGGTGACGACGCCGAGGATGATGTACATCCAGCGCCAGGGGCCGATCTTGTCGTCGATGTGGCCGACGCCGAAGGCGAGTAGCGAGGCGACGAGGCCGCCGACGGAGTTGCCGGCGAACCAGATGCCGGTGCGGGTCGGGATCTCGTCGCGGGTGTACCAGGTGGAGGTGAGGAACATGAAGGCCGGGGTGATGGTGGCCTCGGCGACGCCGAGGAGGAAGCGCACGGTGAGCAGGCCGCCGTAGTTCTTGCAGGCCGCGGTGACGGCGACGACGGCGCCCCAGAAGAAGGTGTTGGCGGTCATGTACTTTGCGACGGGGAGGCGGGCGATGAGCAGCGTCGTGGGGTACGTCCAGGCGAAGTAGCCAAAGTAGAAGATGCTCGAGACCCAGCTGTAGTTCTGGCCTTTCAGATGCTGTCGCGGGGCGCATCAGCAAAAATGCACGCATCTCATCGTTCACCATCACATTCTTGGCCAGACCGTCTCCAGAGAAAGTGGCAACTACTCACAGTATCATCTCTCAGCCCAAACACACTCGCGCTCGACAGGATCGTCTTATCCATAAAGTTGAGCATGTACGTGACGAAAAGCAGGGGGATGACCGTGCGGTCAATCTTCCACAGAATCTTCTTCGCCATGGCGGTGTCGACATGCTGCTGCTGTTGCTGCTGGTCCACGCCCTGCGGCGCATCATCCGGAGTCGAGCCCATATCGTCGTCAGCTTCGAGCAGCCTCGTTCTCTCGTGAGCGTCGTCTGCACGGTGCGGTCGCGAGCTGGATGCTTCCCCCGCCCGAGGTGCAGCCGCCGCCCTTTTGAAGAGCCCGGCCATTCAACGTACGGAAGCACGCGCGGTTACCGGGGGCTGCTGCTTGCCTGTTCTTCCCGCGGCGAGGGGGAAAAATTAGGATGAGGGGGCCTTATCTGCGGTCTTGTCTGCCGATGGCCGATGATCCCCGACGCGAACCACGCGGTCGCTGTGACCCGACCAACCACCACCGCGAACCGGAGGGGCGGGGGAGGGCCGCGGGGCGGGAGATAAGCAAGCGACTGGATGCAACAGACGAGCACCGCTAGACTCCGCTGAATAGAGCACTACCCCCGACGAGGAAAGGGAAAAAGTCGTTCCACTCTAGGGTCGGTGAATATCCGAACCGAGGATGCGACGTTACCACGCTGCATATGGCTTGGAGATGAAAGAAGCAGACGTTGAATGGGCCTAACAACCCGGCAAAAAGAAACAGAGAGAGCCGCTTCGATACCGGCTGGGCGGTTATGGTTGGCTGATGACAGCTTTGGGGAATAAGACGGGCCCCCCAAAAAATTAAGTGTTATCGGATCCTTCGCGTTCTTGGGGGACTCCACAACTATGCTGCGAACATCGGCCATCAAGACTCCATCAAGCTCATTTGATTCGCGACTCTTTGGGTTTTTGAATCGCAAAGAGTCTTCAACCAACCACTTACGAGATGAATATTTGTGATGTTCCATTCACATTACCCGAGAATTCGGTCGAGGCGTTCGAGTTTTCACGGTAGAAAGACAATGGGCCAGTCAGAAGAAAGAGAACGAGAGACTAGTGGGACTCTGAAGAGTGACATCCCGCAATACATGAGATGATAGCCGACAGGGGGGCAAGTCAAGACGTCGGGACCTGTCCGACATGGCGGAGCTGCACGTCAATCACCACAGTCCGATCGGCCAACTTCAGTCTCACATGAACGTGATGATCTAACGCTTCATCACAGTAACTCAAAATTCATTTCCAGCATTCTAATCCAAAATCAAACTCATACCACCTCACTGCAACCTCAACAACTCGTACCGGCCCAAAATGAACGGCCTAGAGATCTCCCCCTTCATCGCCTCCCTCCCCAAGGTCGAACTCCACATCCACATCGAAGGCACCCTCCTCCCCTCCCTCCGCTGGAAACTCGCCCACCGCAACAACGTGCCCCTCCCCTACGCAACCTACGACGACCTCCTCGCCTCCTACACCGTCTTCTTCAACCACCGCCCCGAGATCAACGGCCGCGTCCCCGGCATCCCCACCTTTCTCGAGGCCTACTTCGCCGGCTGCGAGGTCCTCCACACCGAGGATGACTTCTACGAAATGTCCATGGACTACCTGCGCCGCTGCGCCGAGATGAACGTCCGCTACGTCGAGCCCTTCTTCGACATCCAGGCGCACACGCGCCGCGGCGTGCCTGCGGCCGACGTGCTCAACGGCTACCTGCGCGCCCAGCGCGACGGCGAGCGCGAGCTCGGCGTGCGGTCGAACTGGATCTTCTGCTTCATTCGCGACGAGAGCGTGCAGGATGGGCTTGATGCGTACGAGATCGCGCGGCCGTGGGCGGCGGGAAACGTAGAGGGCGGCAAGGGGCTGTTCCACGCTGTTGGACTAGCTAGCAACGCGTTTGAGAGGCCGCCAATGCTGTTTGAGGAGGGGTATGCGAGGGCGAGGGCGGATGGGCTGCATGTTACGATGCATTGCGATTTCGGGCAGAAGGACACGCATGAGCATGTGCGGGAGGCCGTTTTCGAGGTTTGTGGCGGCAAGGGGGCGGAGAGGATTGACCACGGCCTCGATGTGGCGGATCGGGAGGAGCTCATTGAGGGCGTGTTGCGGCGAGGGATCGGCTTGACGCTGTGTCCGCATGCGTATCACCGGAGGACGCCGACGGAGGTGCTGTTTCCCAAGATCCGGGCGCTGTGGGAGCGTGGAGTGAAGTTTTGCGTGAACAGTGATGATCCGGTATACATGCATGACGTGTGGGTTGATGGGAACCTGCAAAAGGTGTATACGTATTGTGGGATGAGCAAAAAGGACATGGTGAAGTTGGTGAGGAACGGAGTTGATATGTGTTGGGCGAGTGACGAGGTTAAGAAAGAGCTGTACAGGGAGCTGAATGAAGTTGATGTTCAAGAGTAAAGAGTTGGTTAGTCATATGAAGCAAAAAAGGATTTACGTCGAAACCAATTCTTGATTGATGCCTTCAGAATCGGACATGTTAATGTTTAATTCAAACTCTCTGTGAACAGACTCATTAGCTCATATGAACCATGCTGACAGTCAGGCGTTGTTCTCAACTGCTGCTGAGTATGGGTAGCAAATAGCTGTTAATTCCAAGCGGACGAAGCGATGCCTGACGGCTTCGTTGTATTACATCTTTATGGTTACCACCAATGATAGGCCTTCCTTCAATTTTTATCACTATCTATCTTCCAGCCCTGGAATGCCGCTTTACCAAATATATTATTGGATTTTCACAGTCAGACATATTTGCGGTCCAGAAATCTCGCACTCGAACACAAATGGTCTCTATCCACAAGTATGGTTAAATTTGTTCCTCTGGCACGTTATCGTCGTAACTATGTTTGGAGTTGAACTCAAATTTGTCAACAATGTCTTGATGTTACCAATGGAAATCACGTTTGCATTGTCCTTGACTTTTGCTGAGGAAATAGTTTTCTCACAAGTCTAGTCCCTTCCCAATCAAACGCTATACTACCATCAAACCTGTCTCCTCCCAATCACCCACGTCATCTCTCTTACACCTGCAATCATAAATCGATTTTCCATTCAAACGTCTTGGCCGGCTTTGGAGCAGGAGACAATCTTTTCTGGTCTTCGTTACGAGGTGTCGTGTCGCCTTCCCTGACGAGACTAGAGTGGCACATTCCTTCTATACCACGTATGCTCTTTCCCACACAATCTCGGGCCATCGCTGGCATGCCAATTCTATATAATCAGTCCTATTTCAAGCACTCGGCTCTTCTCCGTTCCACTCTCAATCTCCAACACATTTCACATCCACTTTGACTCATCACAAGTGACTTACCTATCCGCTTTCGAAGGTGGGCAGTAAGACCACGCCGTCAGTCCAACTTCAACATCACTCGTACAGCGCATCAACTTCACAAACAACATCAATCCGAGGACTTTCCCCGCCAACGCCTGTTTTCATATATCCCATAAGAACACCGAAATCAGGTTCAACCACAGAGGGCACAGCCGTTTAACCAAAAGCTCCTGCCACACCTGCCCAAGGATCTGCGGCCCGGGTTGCTTTTCGTACTGCCCGCTTCCAAATCCATACGACATCATCCCCTCAAGGCTATCCTTCTTTCCTCATCACAAAACGGAAACTGACGAGGATTCGTTGTCTGCCTTCAACCTCACCACGAAGGGTATTTTTTTGAAACGGAGTCCCAAACATTGATCGTTAATCGCAAGAAAGATCACACAAGCCCAAGTCACGCCTGCCTCCAGAAAGGCTGTTATCGTTTACCAACTTGTGGAGCTGCCATTTGAGTCAACTTAATCCCACAACATCATTCGAGGAAAGGCCCTGCCAGCAGGTGAAACCAGTTATCTGGCTCACTTTCAAAGTCAATTGCACCAACTGTCGACCTGAATTGACAATTCAATCTTCATCGACATTGATCTCGACAATCAGGCTGTCGACAACCGACTCTTCCCTCAAGACATCGCCACTTCCTATCCGGCAATCTTTTACCAAGTAACAAAGAGTGCTTTCATCGCCCGCAGACTGCAATAATGACTCGACAGGAACGTGTCAAGCCCTGGTACCTCGGCTCGCTGGACTACTACTTCGTTGACGACCGGGCTGCGACAGTCGACCGGGATCCGGAAGCGAATTTTGTGCCGGGCGTGGCTCAGTACGCCGATGACGAGTATAAGTCCCTGCAGCTGCCTCCGAATCCGAGAGGACGACCAAAGGACACTACCAGACCCTCCCGTGCCTCGCAGCGACAGGCGTCCAAGAAGGCGAAAGAAAGAACATCCATGCTCTATGAGGAGTACGGACAACCCACAGATGAAGACGAGGTCTCGAGCGAGGACTCACCTGTCAAGGGTCAGAGTGCCGAGAAGGAGACTGAGGTGTTCGTCGCAACGATCAGACCCTGTCAGCCGACCGCAACTTACTCACCAACCCAGAAAACCAGCTCCGTGTCGATGACTCGTCAGGCACCATCCAGCTGTACGCCGTATGCACTGACTGAGAGCTCATCTTCAGGCAAAGCTGGCCGAAAGCGTGGTGCTGAGACCAAGGCTGCCGCAAAACGTAAAAGAGCACGTCGAAGTTTGCTCCAGGACAGACAAGATCTCTCCGAAGACAGGGAGGTCACTTTGGGCCGCGAGATTGTTGCTAAAACCAGCAATGACATTGCAGAAGTGGACAAGGTTGAAGAAGTCATACATGTAGCCGTGGCTTCAATGACACAGGCAGCGCCCGCCAGCGCGGCGCCGTCGGAACCTACTCCCCTCGAAGCACCAGGACCGGTGGGAAGCCAATCAGGGGCTATTCCGGGACACGGCGGAAAAGCACCACGACACCACAAGACGGATAATTCAGGCACATCGATTGAAAGTCGGAGCGCATCGGTCGAAAGCCGCATCAGTAGCATCAGTTTACAATGGGCCCAAGTCGAGGAAATCATCGTCCATGAAAGGTTCGTGAATGCAGCGCATCTGACCGTTCCTGGATTGCGGAGCAGCATTGTTGACGACTTGGCACAAGAGCTTGGCATCATTGACTATGCAGACATCACTGATCATCTGAACGAGATCCGGCGCAACCCGCACGAGGGCGCAAGAGTTGAAGCTGCAAGAGCGCTCGGGAGAGCGATCATGGACCGTATGATTGTTGGTATGTGAAGCTTACTTTGGTATCCTCAGACTCCATGGAGCTAACGTTCTACAGCAGGTATAAAATCGGAGTAAAGCAGACGGAGTCAAGTGTTTTGATACACAGAACGGGATACAGGAACTTTTTGGAATGCGGGAGTGATACAGCTTCGTTGAAAAATCAAGTCATGAGTAGTTAAGGGCGCCCAAAGGCTAGCATAGTCTGCTCATACAGGTGAACAAGGGGGCTGGCATAAGGAGCGACGGATGCCTCCCCGACAGAAACTTGGTTTCCAACAGAAGTTTCGCATTTGGCTAGACAGGTTTACTAAACATAAATTACCATAGTCGCAACAATTACTCAAGTCCAAACCAACAATGATCGTGATCTTGATACGTTACTTGCTCATCTATGGTGTATCAGACCTCATCCATGCAACTCTAGGTTCTAAACTCAGTCTTGGCAGGCAAACCCATGAAAACCTCGCGCAAACCCCTCTCCCCGCGACGCTTACCTTCACAGGGCCGTCCTGACCATGATATTGTAATCATGCCACACGTAGTCATTCCCGGCGTCCCTCTCCCATATGAAGGAATCCCTGTTCGCCATCTCCATGTCAAAAGCGAAAGCAACCTTCGCTACGGTTAGCCGGATGGACTGCAGGGCCATCTCCCGCCCAATGCACACTCTTGGCCCGACGAGAAAGGGACGATAGCTGGTCCGGACATCGTGCTCAAAGGCCGTCCCGGGCCCATTGTCAATCCACCGGTCGGGGCGGAATTTATCGGCGAGTGCCCAGTAATCCGGCCGTCGCTGAATAGTCCAGATGTCGGCCGAGACGTTGACGCCCTTGGGCACGTAGAGCCCGTCGATAGTGGCACCCGGGGAAATGCGGTGCGAGCCGCGGCCGTTGATGGGCGGAAGGAGGCGCAGAGTTTCCTGCACGCAGGCGTTGAGGTAGGGCAGACGGAGCACGCTCTGGGCTGAGATCTCGGCGAGCGAGGAGTAGGCGGCGCGGACCTCGTGCTGGATCTTGTGGTAATGATCTGGCTCGCGCAGGACATGGTAGAACATGGCGGACAGGGTTGTGGCAGATGTGTCGTAGCCTACCATGCTGTTTTGGATTCAAGAGTGCATGTCAGCAATGTGCATCTGGGAAAAAGCATGAAAGATGATTGGCCACTAACGCGAATAAGGCCGAGTTGCTCAAAATCTCTGCCTGAGTCAGGCCGGCGGACTCTTTGGCCGCTAGGATGGCGGTGAGAAAGTCTTTACGGCCGCCTTGTCGGTCGATGCAGCTGGATGACTATGTTAAAGTTTCTGTTCGGTCGGTTGGTACGTGTTGGGACGACGCGGGGCACTGACTCTCTTAGTTGATTCATCAACAGGAAGTTCTTGGGAACTCTGAAGATGTGGGGCACGATCATGACGGGCAACTTGGCCAGGCCACCAAAGATTGGAATTTCTGTGAGAAACTGAAACAGCTCTAGGAGAGGCGCTCCTTTGCCGTAGGTAAACTTAAGCTTTTCGTATGCGCCTGGTTGGATAATTAGCGCGACGCGTAGCCACAGACCGGTCGTTACGGATATTTACTCATTTGGTCATGGAGCAGGGGCTCGCCAAATGACAAGTCACCAACAATACTCCAGATCATCCTCGCAAAGTGGTCGCTGATATTGATAGTTTTGTCTTCGTTCAGTGCTTTTCCCAAATTGTCGACCGCCCTGCCAACATGGTGCTGGACGATGTCCTCTTGTTCCATGAGAGCTTTGGCAGTGAATGCTGGCTGCAGAGCAGTGCGGAGACGCTTGTGCGCTGTCTTGTCTGTCGTAGTCAACAGATTCGGCGCTGCCCAGATCAGCTTTGCAAGCAAGGACTCAATGGTGCCCTGTTTCGTAAAGTGTCCACCATTTGGGCCCGGGTTGTGGATTGTCTTGAGAGCATCTTCGGACGCAAACGACAATTCGTTGGGACCGATTCGTACAACGGGGCCTGGAAGTATGGAATTAGTTTTGGTTTGGAACGCGAAGATACGTATGTGAGCTGTTACCATATTTCGCATGAATTGCTTCGATATCATTGTTGAGTCTATGCCCCGACACGGACCGGATGAGCCAAATCTGGCTACCATGTTAGTTACAGCGAAATCGGCTGGAGATCAGAGGCCTTACAGGAGATATTGCCGCAATGAAGGGACCTTTGACATGGGCAATTGGATGAAGATAGTAGTTGTAAAGAGCTAGTAGTACTGGGCATACAATGAACTGTACAGAGGTAAGTCGGTTAGTTAACCAGGCTCGGTGTAAGTCAAGGGCACACTCAGTAACATACTGAAAAGCCGAAATACACCGGCATGTTCCCCCATGACAGCCAGCCATGCGACCGACGCAAGATCCACGGTACAGTAAGTGTGCTAACCTTGTCTTGGGGAAAAGTGTTGAGTGTGGCGTCCATCTTCTTTTGCTATTCAGTTCCGATCTGATGTCGTTCACAAGAAGGTCACTAGGAACTATGTCGCAAGTTCAAATCGAAAGGCTGCAATGAAAATTGAGCTCCCGGGTATCCAAAATGTGAATATGTTCTCCATCAACTCATCGGTTGGTGCTTTTGTCAAAGATGGACCCGTAAATCTCCAAGTCTCTAGCTGCCGTGCGCTCATTCTCAGTCAAACTTAGCGGTCCTAGGACACATGCTATCAAACTTTCTGCAGTTGATTGCTTCGCCAGGACTTGATTCGTAAACCCATTCCGTGGCAACGGTCTGATTCGGTCAATACCTAAACACCGCGGCCGGCGGAGCAATTCCCCCACATACCGGCCGACCTCTTCTGGGCGGCTCCGAAAGTTTATCATCTGAAGTGGCACGCCGTCCGAGGTCATCGCACGCTTCGGCGTTAACCTTTACGGCGTAGTCATCGGTCTCGGTTTTCTTCCTAAACGAGGTTACACAACTGACCCGTGTATCGACAGCTGAAACGATTGACATGGAAAGATTGACGATTATCACCCGCCAACTGACACGACTCAACACCTTTGTGGTATGTTCCCGCCGACTGCTTGCCGCGAAGCCCCTCTCGCAACACCTCCACAGTCACACCGAGGAGCTAGGAGCTCTGGGCCCTCCAGCGTCCAAGCATTACTTCTCACTGCTCTGCTTCCACCATCACGATCGGCAGCCAAGAGCGACGCATCCACTGGTAGATAAGGTTCGCCCACTGAGAGCGGCTGCCCACATAAACTCTCCGAGGCTGTTTCGATCGCTGTCAGACCAACTATTGACTATTCCCGCCAGCGAGCCGACCCCGCGGGTCACCCCAATGTCGGGCCACGTTCACCACCTCCCCGGACTCAAGCCACGTTTTTTTCAGCTGCAGTAGGCATTCGACATTGGACAAGTTTGAATCTTACCCCTTGCCAAGATTGATTTAGGTGAGATGGCATCCTCAAGCCACGAGATGCACATGCGTGTGATTATTACCCGCGCTGCAGTTTCGGTAGTTTTTTCTCGTCCCCTGGCAATTTCGAAATGCCGTGTTAGGATACACAAGTTGACAGCCTTCCCGGCGGGATGTCTTCGGCTAAACTGTTTGTATGTCTTTACTTGAATCGCGCTCCTATAGCACATGACTCGCCTGGTCATATCTCAATGGCGGATCATATCCCCGAGCGTAGCCTTACCTGTATCATCTATCGTAGGCGGCAAACTTTAGACGGTAACCCGCGCATTCTTCTACTATACTGCCAAGCCGCCTGGAGTAATCCATGGTAAGAGTGGAACCGGCCCACTGGATCAGTCCGCCATTTCAACCCTGACTTGCCTCTTCAAGATCAACTTCCAGTACCTGGTCGCAACCTGTGCCTTGGCGGGGCGTCGGCACTGAATAACTCGCCGTGCTCGCGCCATCGGCAAGATCCTTGAGGGCTCTATCGCGCCACATTCCCGTTTGACAAGCTGACGCCATCCCCATTCCTGTGAAGGGTCTGGTTTCAGCTGGCATGTGGTAAGGCTGGGTACCACCGGGGCCTAACTCCCCTACAACCAGGATGCATGCGTGCCTCTACTAGCTTAAGTTTGTTATACTCTTCCAATCGTCTAGAACACCGTTGGTGAAGCATCTGACTGCCCGGCTACATTGCCCTGCTTCTCTAGGTCCGTAACTTTCTTTCACGCCGCCTACGGTTGCTTCCTGCAGGTCTAGACTTTCTTTCGGTAAAGATCCAACCCCTCCCACGTACCTCTCCTACGGAAAAATGAACCACTCCTACCAAATTTGTTTAATCGTCGGCAGCATATCCGCATGATTGGCCGACCTCAGATAAATCTTGTTTGCCAAGGTTTCCTCAGACATTGCATCTGCTCCCTCGAAGGTTGTAACATGCATTCTGCGAACCGCCCAGGGTCGTGTTTGATCAATGGCACCGCAGCGCAAGAGAGGAAAAGGCCTTTTCCCCGATGAAGCCTTAAATCCTTTATACCTATGGTGACTTGTCAGCCAAACCCGAGGAGACGCGATTGTCTGCTCGTTCTGCTCGTTCTAAAAACCGAAACTGTGTCCATTGGTCACCACGCTATACTACTTTTATGATTTGATCGCCCGCAACACACACACACCCTTTTACTAATTGGTCGGATTATCTGCTCGACGTTTTCTAGAACAAAGCAAGATGTTCGGTACTTTGATGTATGATCTACAGCACAACGAGCCCACGTTTATCGAGAACAATCCCGAGGCGGTGATCAACCGGAACCGACGGGGTAAGCCACACATCGCATGCGAATTTTGTCGAGCTCGCAAGGTAGGCTTTTCTCTCCGAGCGGCACTTGAGACTCCTTCTGATTGCGTGAAGCTCCGATGTAATGGGAATCCAAACGGTTGCGACCGGTGCAAGTCAGCCTCCAACATTTGTAAATACCCAACGAACAGAGGCGTTATCCGAAAACGAAAACAGTCCACCACCTCAACCAAAGACTCATCACAGCCACGCCAGTCTGGCCTTGGAGATACCACAGCACCGCAGTCGCCAACACTTTCCGACCACTTCAAACTTGATCCGACAATGATGTTTCACACAACAAATAACGAAGCTGAGAAGACAATTGCGCTGGGTCAGTTGCATCGGCAAAGCAACCTACCCAGTCCGGTGCTTGATCTGCCAGCCTGCCCCACCGACTTGATGGGGGAGTTGACCAACGGGCAAAATGAGAAGCATGAGCAGGATCAGATCGACCAATGGCTGGCTTCATGTAGCCTGTTATCGCCCAATGGCACAATCGATATGGGCAGCTTGAAGACAGGGGACTTTACTTGGCAAGAGCTGAGTAAAGACATGTCATATTTTGACAACGTGGATGACAGTGGAGACGATGGAGCGAGCTCTCAAGAGACTCAACTCGAGGACTTCGACATGAACGGTAAGCGTCATCTGCAATCAACTTGCGGATCCAGGGATGTTCATTCGATGGCTGATTGAATTCTCAGATCCCACAGAAACCATCGACGATTCATCATCCACTCCATGCCTATCATCCTCAAGCCTGGACATGCTACTGGACGAGAACTTCCCCACAAATACAAGCGCTCCTCTGCCTGATCCTCCGTCGAACAAGTCCCAAAAACCAGGCCGCAAACAGACCCCGATAGCATACAAGATGTCCGCGCCGGCACCGAGCCCACTTACGGCGTTACTAGAGACGGCCGAAAACACCTACAAGAAGAAGAGCGAGTGCCGCTGCCTCCGTTTAGCTGCTCACCTCCTCGAGCAACTTGGCAACGAGGGGGCGAATACGGAACAGCCTACGATGGACGGCTTGCTCAACTGCTGTCGAGAGGCCATCAAGGGCTGCGATTCCATCCTCGGCTGCACATTATGCAAGTCTCGGTCCGAAAGCATGATGCTTCTCGCCATGGCGGGACAGTACCTCAGCAACATTTGCGAAAAGACGGTGCGGTGCTACGTTGACGTCGTCCAGCAGCCCCGGCCGGCGAATCCCCCGGACGGAGGCGTTGCCATGTGGTTCCGCTCCTACAAGATCGAGAGCGCATCGGAACGCAACCAGGTTCTCAGATGCCTCGTTACAGGACAGTTGACAGAGTTTTGTCAACTGATCAGCAAGATTAAGGCGCGGGTGGGCACGAGAAAAGCACACCTAGCGCCACTGCTGGGAGCCGAGCGGAAGATACAGTGCATGCGAACCATGTTGATGCAGTGTGAAAGTTATGGAGGATCTAGAAGCAACAGTAGCGACTCGCCGTCACTAGCATAGCGTAATCAGAATATGTCAGTTGTCTCACTAGCGCTGCTGTGCGTGAAAATGCCGAAGTTTCTGTATACGAGTGTGTCGGCTTCCTTCCGAGGCTTGCTAGGTCTTCCTGGTCACGAAGACTTTTGCGACGCATGCATGTGTAACGTTGTTGTGGTTCGCCAGCTTTTGAGTTCATAGCTTGAGACGAATATGCGATTACCTTTAGTCACACTCGTCCCAACTCGACTGAGGAGTATGCTCGGAGTAATCCTACCAAGATGAAGTATCCGGGATATCGACAGGTAGTGTGCCAAAGCGCATAGCCCAGCTTGATGGAGGCTAACATACCTCACGGCTAAAGTTGCCTGCATTTAGTGTGTCTAAAGCCGCATGACGGTGGGCCGGCAATCAGAACCATACAGCATAGGGATCACGGAAATAGATAGTCATAAATCTGGGTTGCGGCGCACACGTAGTCCTAGTCCAGCGAGCAGCTCGGAAAACTCGGCCGATTAGATTAACATGCGATGGAAAAGCATCAATAAAGCTAACACGACCCCTGTTCTATGCTGCCTTCACAAGCGTCGAAACATAACGACTCTTTTCTCCAATTTTCTCAGCCAATACGCTCAAACTCGGGCTGTGAAGCACGTCAAAGATGCTTGTCGTCTCGGCTCCCGCACTAGATACGAGCCAGTTTCTGAGCTCTACCGCAATGAGCGAGTCGACGCCGTACTTGGACACGGGATACTTCTTGTCAATCTCCGCGGCGTCCAGTCCGAACATCTCGCCCAACTTTGAGATGATGGCGTCGAGGATGAGGACCACAGCACCGGTGCCGCTCGTGGCAGACTGCAGAGAGTCCGAGAGGCGGGCCGTCGCTTGACGTTGCTGATCACCTCGTCCACGTGGGCCGCCATGTGCGTTACGGGTGACTTGGGCCGCTGTAAATCGTTTGTCGTTGACCCACGCAACCGTTGATGCCTCGTCGAACTCTAGAATGCCCGTGATGAGCTGGCTGAGGTCGACGGGGCGAAGAGGGTGTTGAATAGCCGTCTCAACGATCTTGAGCATTTGCGCCTCGCTAATATCGGCAAGACCAGTTTTGGTCAACCGTTCCGCGACACCCTCGGTATTAGCAACAAATCCGACCTCTTGGATGCTGGCCAAGTCAACCGACACCGCAGGCAGAGACTGAGAAGTCCGGAACTTAGCAAAGGCGTCTTGGAATGTTCCGCCAGCGGAGTAGTTCGCCTGGCTCGTGTTCCCGCCCAGGCCAGTCAAGGAAGACAGCATGATGAAGAAGTCAAGGTTGGGAAGGTTGTTGTGGATGTTCCACGTGGCGGCGACCTTGGGACCAGTTGCAGCAAGCCATTGGTCGTACGTCATATTGGGGAAAATAGAGTCCTAAGTTGCTTTAGGTTTATGCTTGCTTGTATGGACAAAATGGGGAGGGAACTTACGTTAAGGGTCATTGCCGCCTGGATCACGCCACGAACCGGCGGGAGACTTTGGCAAGCTTGGTCCAAGACTCTGCGGAGCTCCACATCGTTCGATACGTCGCAATTCCCAAAGAAGGCATTGCATCCCGTGGCTTTCAGATCGGATGTGAGAGCCTCACTGTCTGGATGTGTCTTTGCACTGCGAGAGAGGATCATAAGATTCTTACAGCCGAGGCTGCGGGCCATCCACCGTGCAATGGATTGTCCAATCCCTCCCATGCCACCCACAATGATGTACGTCGCATCTGGTGAAAGGCGGGCGGGCTTGGGGGACGGGATGACCTAATGAACGGTTAGAAACCATGTAATGTGATCGGAAGGAAAGTGCGACAGGAAATCATACCTTGACAAGATCTGTCTTCTTTGGTGTTACAACAATCTTGCCCAAGTGCTTGCCGCTCTGCATCAGCCTGAACGCCTTGTCGACGTCCGAGATGGGGTAAGTTGTCATTGGTGCCACTACTCGAAGCCGTCCGTTTTTAAACATCTCCATGACGCCTTGGAGGACATCTTGGACCGCTTGTCCCTTATATTTGCCCAGTTGGAAAAGATCAACAGCAGCAAACGAAACGGCGCGGCGCAGAGGGCTCATGTCGAGGTACTTGGCAGCCTCCATATCCCGCTTGCCAATCTCGACGAAACGTCCAAATCGTGCCACGCAGTCCCAACTCTCTTTCAGCAGAGCGCCTGAGAGGGAGTTGAGAACAACGTCTGCGCCTCGACCGTTGGTGGCCGCCATGAGTGCAGGTCCGAAGGAGGTATCTCGGCTGGAGAATATGTGATCTCTTGGGATTCCAAACTCCTTCACAACAAAGTCACGCTTCGCTTCGGTGCCGACGGTGACGAAAACGTTGGCACCGCGATGCTGAGCAAGCATCACTGCGGCCTGCCCGACTCCACCGGTAGCCGCATGGATAAGAACGTTCTCGCCCTTGGTAAGCCTGCCGATGTCATACAAGCCATAGTAGGCTGTCGCGAATACCATCGGAACTGTGGCGGCTTCTTCGAATGACATGTGGTCAGGGATGCGAACAGCACAGGGCCAATTGATGGTAACTCTTGTCGCCCAGTGTCCACGAAGGATAGCGCAGACACGGTCGCCAACCTTCAGATCGCTGTCTCTCTGAGCGTCTGAACCAAGTCTAGTGACAACGCCACTGCACTCATAGCCCATGATGGTTTCATCAAGCTGACCTAGAGTAACCAAGACGTCTCTGAAGTTCAAGCCGAACGCGCGAGGCTCGATCTCAATCTGGTCGGCGCCAAGAGAGGATTCATTACGCTCTACCTCCCGAAATCGCAGGGTGTCGAGCAATCCAGCAGTGCCGACCTCCATCTGAAGATCGAACTTGGAGTCCCTGGCATCAAACTCTCTGATCTCTGGATCAGGCTCACTGCCTTCGGGAGCGAATGCCTTGTTCTCATTGTCGTCGTTGTAGATGCGTGAGACATGGATGAGTGAGTTGTCAACGGCGTATTCGCAGTCAATGTCTCTTGAGCTTTGTAAAAAGTCGAAGGAAGTCGCAAAGACATCGGCGATGAAGTCCACATTCCTCTCCGACCACGCCGGATCCTTGGTGTCCAGGTCAAGGGAAACGTAGCGCCTTCCAGCGTCTTCCATCCGCAGAGTTCTGAGAAGACCAGAGTGCATAGCCATATCGGGCTCCGAGCCCTTGGTGAGACTAGCCCTTGTGACCCAGAGAACACCTCGAGCTGTCGTCAGCAGACGCTGTATGCGCGCAAACTCGTCCTTCGTCAGGCGACTCAAGAGAGGTGCAATCATTTCGACGAGCATGATGCAGACTTTGCCAGCGGCATCAACCTTTTTCCAATCCTCTACGGTGGTAGAAGCTCCAACGTTACGTTGAATGCTGCTCTGAAGGCTCTGCAACCAAGGGGCGGGCACCTTCTCTGACGGGGAAAGAATGGTGACTTCGGAAGGATATGAAGTCGGCGCGGCGGCAGTCGAGGTCATGACGCTGAAAGAGTAGTTTGCCTCGTCTTCCATGTCGCGAACCTCTAAGTCAATGCCGGAAAAGCCGCTAGCTTTCAGCACCCTGCTCCAGTGATCGACTGTGAGATTGGGGCCACCCTTGCGTTCGGACTCTTCGGCAAGCCACCAACCGGGCAATGCACCGAAGATCAGTTGGACGTCCAGAGTATCCTTGGTGGTCTCCACCAGAATGAGCTTTCCGCCAGGCTTGAGCAGAGAGCGAACATTCTTCATCGTCTTTTCCATGTTCTTTGTGGCGTGTAGAACTTGGCAAGCGATGATGAGGTCGTAGGAACCAGACGCAAAGGACTGCTCGGTGGGGTCGGCCTCAATGTCAAGCTTCTTGTAGCTGATCATGTCACCATACTCGCCAAACTTCTTCGCGGCTGCTTCGAAAAAGCCAGCAGACACGTCGGTGAAGGTGTAGGACGAGAAGCGGTATCTGCAGTCTGGGGTGTCCTCGGTCAATCCCTTGAGGACGGATCCTGTGCATCCACCGGTACCACCTCCGATCTCCAGAACCTTGGCTCGCGGGTTCTTCATGGAGTATAGATGCACTAACTCCTGAACCTGCGCGTAGGAACGGTTGCAGCGCAGAGCCTTCTCATAGAACTCGTATAGGAGGTTGCCTTCCATCATGACTTCGAGAGGAGCCACCTGCTTCCGGAGGATCTGAGACAAACTTCTTCCAACACGGCACAGAAGACGGCCATTGACGCTCTGTGAAGCAACTTCATCGAAGAGCATGTGCTTCATTCCCTTGCTTGCCTTGGCCCAGGAGGCGCTGCCACGAGCAAGACTGCCTACAAGCCCAGCTTCATAGTTGGACTGCATCCAGTTGTACAGAGACTTGTGGTACCACTCCATGTCGGCGAGAGCCTGTTCATCTGAGCTCAAGTCCTGGATGGCGTCTTGGATGAAATGCCAAGCAGCCCGGACGAGCTTCTTATTGACCGACAGTTCCTGTGGGCCAACTTCGAATCTCAAGGGCTGCACGATTGTCTCAGTGGGCATCAGCGTCATATCAGGATGCCACAACATCTTGAACAAGAGCTTTGTTGCATTCTCTGAGGCGTCGGTGTTATTCACGCCACCAACAGCCTGGCAGAAGAGCCCCTTGACTTCCAAAAGTGTTGTGTCAGGGTTTTGAGGATCGGATGTGGTAATAGTGGAGCGGAATCCTGAACGATCTTGCTTGTCCACGGTCGCAAGAGACTGAAATTGGCTGCCAGGAGATGATGACAGTGACTGAGCAACAAAAATCTCTCCAATAGCACGAGGCATAACCATGGAATTTTGGTATGCGTCTGATGACAGCGCCGCATACGCCCCTTGGAATATGGAGTCCAATGTCGTGGGATGAAGTACGTGAGAACTGGCAGACTTGACGTCCGCAACCTGGAACTGGAACTTCGAGCCAAACTCTTGTGCTTGAATATTGATCATGTTTTGGAAGGTTGGACCATGGTGAAGTCCCATCTTCCTCAGACGACCAAAGAGCTCGCTCACCTCGACGGGTCGTAGAA